TCGAGAAAAACGCGTTTAAAGATAAAATGATCGTTTTCACTGTTATAAATGGATTAAAATCATACTTACACCCAATCTGCTATTCCAGGCCCATATAATTCACCTTCCTCTTCCTCAAAAAGTGGTTGTTGAGCTAAAGAAGCTCAAGAAGAAGAAGAAAAAAAAAATGCGTTTTTTTGAAAATTTCACTCTAAGTGTGCCCCTTAAACTTTAACCTTGTGTTAATAATTATCATTTTGTCTGCGAACAAATATTCCCTTTATTTATTAATTAATTTTCTAACATTTTTAAGTCCCATAAGAAACATATTTTGTGCAGTCTTAGTCCGCTCACAATAAAATATAAAATTACATATTAAACGATGCATACGTGCATTGTTTTTTTTTTAATGGCTAACAAACTGACGTTACCTATAGATATGAACAGCCCTATAGAATTCTTAGAATGCACTGTGATGCCTTTGGTATTCCCTACGTTGCCAGTGGTCTCGGTGCCCTTTTTCTTATACAACTTAGAATGGCAAACAAGCTGACGGCCCACCTGATGGAAAGTGGTAACAGTCGCCTATAGACATAAGCAATACCATGGACATAACAAAGTATACGATTTCGCCCATGATACCCCCCATGCGCTGCCATTCCTGAGGATTCAGGTGTTATTCCTCTGTAACCTGTAAATTCACGTCATATCCCACCCTTCAAACCGAAACACAGCCATGCAAACACAACTCCTTATATAAAAACAACTGTTGATATAAAAAAAAAAAAAATACAAAATAAAATAATATAATGTCAGGCATCTTATTTAAATTATAATTCCAACCACTTCAAACTGAAACACAGCCATGCAAACACAACTGCTTCACGGTAGAAACACGAATAGGACAGAGGTACCCAAGCACACGTCTTTTGTACAAAGTCTCCCTCTGGTATACTAAAAACAAAATTAGTGTATATTAAAAACAAAATAAAAAACTCACGAGACTCCCAATTTTACTTTAATCACAGGACATTCCAAGCAGATGACATAATTAGGTTTTTGATTAGTCCAGTCTGTTTGCCGGTTGCATCCTGGCGCTGGGTCGCCGTCCGGACGCGTCCCGTCGTGGCCGGTCGGCGACGTGTCACGCCAAAACTATCATTATTGTTTTATATTGATGATTTTTTTATGTCTAGAGATCAAACTGATGGCCAACCATTTGGGTAACATAATTGCTTTCCATTCTTGTTGGACACAGGTTAATATAAAATACAATCATTTTTATTTCAGGCTACAATTTGGTGCATTTTCTTAGTAACAATTTCCTTACAAACTATGTTAGTAAAAGTGAACATACAACTAAAGCAATTCACGATATAAGACGGAATTACTATTTAGATCTACTATTCTTATGCAGGTTTCGCTACCACTCCGTAATCAGGTGGTCTACCATGAAATGAAATTCCAAAATTTCGGGTTTAATTTCGTGTTTTTGTTCGTATCAAAATCGACCCAGTAAATGGAGCTTAACATTTCGTTCATCATAAATCCTATTCTAATAGTCTAAAGGAATGATATTTTAAACTTTTTAATAATTTTAACGGCATGTATTATGTAATTTTAACATCAAATTTCTGTTTCGTTCGTCCCCGAAATTTCGGAAAATACTTCATGGTAGGCCCTCAGATATCTAAATATATTGTTTACAAATAAAAATCAGTGGATAGAGTAACATTTACACCTATGACATCAGTGGTGCAAGACACGAGTCGTGGCGGGTGGCGGCGGCGCGGGCGACGGCGCGCTGGTGTCGCGGCGCCTACTTGTTTGCGAGCGGCGGTGCCGGGCTGCCGCGCCGGCCCGCCGCCGGCGGCGCCCCGCGGTCCAACCGACAGCCGCCGCCGCTGCCGGCCACGAGCGCTGAGCGGTGTACTGGCCCCACTCATAATACATAAAGTAAAACCCATCTCTTAAATTGATACAAACTATAGATCTTTAGAAAATATCATTATATTTGGTAAAACAGGATCTTTAAACATTATAGATAAAACCCAATATTTCTTATAATTTTATGTTCAGATATAAACGCTGTTATTACATAGATAATTAGATAGATAGATACTCTTTATAGTTTCCTTCAAAAGATTACAATAGTAAACTTATTATAGATACAAACAATTACAAGAAATGATCACACTGAGAAAACAATGGGCAACCTTTGGTTGGAGAGTAGCAATTATATACATATATCTTGCATGTAGACCTTGCACTATTTCTAGTTCTATAAACTATTTCTAAAAGTTGTCTTTTTATATTGAAAGGCTAGCGTAAAACGTAAACGTAACTGGTGAGTGAGTATACCTGTGATAAATGCATCTTTATATGTATTTTTTAATCTTGATTTTATAATAATATTATTCAAAATGCAGTCTAAAGCAGGGGTAGCCGACTTGACTAGACCCAAGATCTACTGTTTACTAACGAAACCCAGTGCGATCTACCAATTGCATACTTCTTGAAATCTCAAATGAAACGACATGGTTCAGTATACAATTATGTAGTACTGTAATATTTTTTATTTTATTAAGAGGGAAAACATAAAACTGAAAATTATTCTCAGTAACTACTTATTTATATTAGTGTGAGCATTGCGTCTGAGCATCTTCCGCTAGATTAGCAAAATATTATATTTTTGCCTTGCCACGACCGACTGGACTAATAGATTTTATTTCATTTCACATATATGTAGATAGAAATAGAGAACAATGGAGACAGCTGGACGAGGTCAAGAGGTACGCCTAATTACGAACATTTTATAAAATCATTAGATTCGATATAACTGTAATAATTGCGAATTATATAACAATAAACCCAAAATTTGGAAAAAAAAAAACTTTGTTGTTTTTACTTTTTTTCGCTTTATACATTTTACTTTAATCGCCCGCTCGCCGCTTATGCCTCCAACCACGTCCGCAAGTGCCTCGCTAATGATCGCTCATGATATATTTGGTGAGCTTAGTTTTATTGCGGCTTGATTTCAGGGGTCCAATGATGGAAAGGTGTCCATAAGTGAACAAACAAACACGTCTTTGTTTGATATATGTATCTACCCACATACACAAATATCTGCGAGTATAAGTAATTTGGATTGAAACGAATTCGAATTACCATTTCTGTATAGGTACTTATTTTATATTTACAAGTTGATTAACATTATTATATGATATTAACATGAGAAGTGCCATGTATATCACAGAATATACTGTGACGATTTGCCATGTTATAGATATGGACCATAGCTTATATAGATAGGGCATCCTCAAAAAAAATACGTTCAATTTTTTATCAGCTAATTATCAAATTAGCTGAATCTTTTTTTTATCAGTATTTTATATTATTATTATTAATTTAACCGTTGTCCACTGCTGAACATGAGCTTTTCCTATAAAGGGAGTTTTGCCAGTAGTTGCCACGCTTGGCAAGCGGGTTGGCAACCGCAGTTAGGCTTTTAGAGATGTTTTAACAGGGACGCTGCTGCCCATCCCTCGCCCTCTCGCAAATTTTACACCACACTATTTTATATATTTACGCATAAAATGTATATTGACGTATTATTTAATAAATAAAATGAGTGTTTACGCATTAAAAAGATGCAGAATTTATAAGACAAAATAAATATAGAAGTTATAAAGGAATCACTCATAACTATTTATCACGCAAAATTGTATTAAACAGTTGACCTATTTCTCGAAGCATTTCTATGGAGACACTCTATCTGTATAATCTAAGGAACGGATAAAGGAATAAATACCAATTATATCACGGTTTTTACCAATTATTCTTAGGTTAGTAACCATTTTACTTCAACTTTTCGATCTGATCTTTTATAATAATATTATTTTATTTGCCAGAAACATAATGAATGAATGAGTACACTTTATTTGCATTATACAATATAGGTAATAAGCAATACAATTAATAAATATAACGATACAATTGTATTAGTACAGTAAGGCGGTGTTATTGCTGAGAGCAATCTTTTCACGATAACCTTAAGGTAAGATCTTTAAAACTACGCAACGGATTTTGATGCGGTTTCTTTGAATAGATAGAGTGATTCAAGAGGAAGGTTTATATGCATAGTACATGCATAATATTGTAAAGGAACACTGATAATTTTAGAGGTTTCTAATGTAATGTCGTAATGTCATGTAATGGAGGACCGGCGACGCTATTTAGTATCAGCATTGCATACGTGCGATGCCGGGGCGTGTCGCTAGTCTTAATTTAATTTATATGTCATATAAGAACTACCAAAATCAGCGTCTAATTTGGCGAGTAACGCCCGTTGTAATATTTATTTAGTTATTCCTCTGTACCCAGTAAATTCACGCCATATCCCACCCATCAAACCGAAACAAATTCTGAAACTAATGTAGTGTGGCTTGGTATAGGAGGGTCCCGTATATCTATGTTTTTTGATTAATCATAATTATTATATCAGCCTTTAACTGTCCACTGCTGGACATAAGCTTTCCCCATAAATGGAGATTTACCAGTAGTTACCACGCTTGGCAGGCGGATTGGCAACCGCAGTTAGGCTTTAATGTTTTAACCCTTAAATACCTGAAGTTTCAAATTTGATACCGGGATTATAAATCGCATTGGGCGCCTACAATCGATTTTATTTTAATATTTGGCTGTTTACATGTTACCAAAGGTTTTTTTTTCAAAATAAATATATAAAAATATCGTTTTGATTTTTTTACTATTTTTCCCCCATTAGTAAACACAGTAAAGGGTACATTTATATATTTTTTAATTTGATTTAAAAAATCAGGCTTTTAAGGGTTGAAAGACACGCTGCTGCCCATCCCTCGCCCTTTAGTTCCTTCTTACGACACCCACGGGTAAGGAAGGGGTGGCCTATTCTATGTTGGGGCACACACGGCCATTTTCGACTAATACTTACTCATAAAATTAGACGATACTGTTGGATAATAAAAAAAAAAACACATAGATATACAAGTAAAATTTTATTTCATCTCTGTAACTCATTTGTACAGTTCTCGTCAAATATGAAATGTGTATAAAAGATACATATAATTTTACTAAAGCGATATAATTCCTCCTAACATGGGATACACTACAATAATTGTTGATACTTCGAATACTACGTAACTATATACGATATATAATGGCATATTTAATTCTAGGAACGTCCTATATAAAATATTTTATATAATTCTTTGACAATTCAAACATATAGAGGTAGTTTTGAGTAAAATAAGTACGTATTACAAATATGTCTATTTCAGTATAGAAACATCGTACGCGTGTTTCAGTTGGTAAATGGGCACCAAACAAGGAAGTACTGTTACTGCGGTATAGCATTCACTTATCAATTCCCTAAGTACTAATTTTAGAACGTGATTATAAAAAAAGAACATGGCCGAACGCAAGAACATTTTTACTTATTGCCGAATAATTTATATGGGTATAAAATTTTAAGATTAATTTATTTATAATATTAAAAATTTTCTATTGAAAAATTCAATTCAATTCCGATAGTATTGATGACTGTAAGATATTTTTAAAACAATTAAAATTTTTTTTATCTTTTTTTATTTAGAGGTTTTTATCCTATAAGGATATGTCAGCCTCATCATACCCTAATTTTATAAAGAAATACAATAATTTAAAATTGTTTTCCACAAATAACGAAATGTGGAAAAATTGTTTCAATAAAAAAAATCGAGTTATTTTGATTTAAAAACTACTAAATTGGTTTTGATAACATTCCCAAGGGACCAATCTGGTAGTACATCCTTTCAGATAAAAACAAATTACAAATAGGTTTACAACTGACGGAGTTATGAGGTAACAAACAAAAAAAATCCATCGAATACAGAACCTTATTCTTTTTTTAAAATCGGTTAAGTGTCTCATTCGCTCGTATTTCCGTGTGCATATTACGCGACACCATCTTCGATTCTGAACGGGTTTTTAATAATAAATATTCTTGCATTCGACGGCCATTACTCTCGTCTTGATTCCTTAAATGTTTGCGTGATATTTTTTCTATTTTATGTTCTGTTCTGTATTAAGCTCCATTTGATATATGTTATTTTGACAGCAATGATTTCTACTACATTATCACTAGTGATATACCGAGTCGGCACTTTTTGCTATTCGAGTTTTTTCGTACTCGTTACAAGCATATAGTGAATATGATTCGAGTCCGAAAACTCGGACAAGAACTCAAGTACTTGTACTCGAATATTTTTATTTTTGATGTCTACTTTTATGAAAATACAGTTGTATAATATTTCCTTTAAGGAAAATATAAGTAAAATGCAGAAATTGAAAAGGATAAACATTCGAGTAGAATTCGAGTAACACAAGTACTCGAAACCTCTATTCGATTACAGTGTACTCGATTTCTAACTTACATACACAGTAATATTACGTTATATAGATATATTGAGTACTCGAACACCTGAGTACCTATTAGGAATTCGAGTTAGTTACTTACTCGAAACAGTCCGACTCGACACATCACCAATCATCACCACTTCTTGTACATATTATTTCTTATACACGATGATAGTACAGTACGTATAGTAAAAAAAAAAAAAAAAAACTAGCATTTTACAGTACCTACATTCAGTTTCAAAATATTAAAAAATTATATAAGAATATATGATATAAACATTATAACACTGCACACAACAATGTAAGTACATAAAACAATCAGATAAATTGACTTAAGTCGTTTATGTTAGTCTTACTAGAATATAGATATCTAATACTTTTACTAAGAAATATACTATACTAATAAACTATACTAAATTAGGTTAGATCAATTGAATATCATTGTTGCTACGATACCACTAGTTTAGGTGTTTTGTCCCGCACCTCCACGATATCATTGTGGCAAATTAAAAGCATCTCCATATTATATCGTGACGATAAAATCGTACGATATCGTGGCGTGCTCAATATCGTCATCTCCAATTGCTAAGTGATCAAAACAAGCTCTGTAATACTGGTAAAGCAAAAGCCCGTTTATTGATAAAAAATATGGGTCTCGTTCAATTGCTTGCATTTAATACAATTCTCAAACATGTAAGTTTTTAGCTTAAGAGAAACCAATGAAGAACTATTTATTAAAAACAATAAAATCAGAAATTAGAATTTGTAAATTAAATGTTTTCTTTTGGAAATAAGTTATAATGATATGACTGGTTAATTAAAAAGTTATTAGAGACACCACATACTAATTTTTTTGATTGACCGACTCATATATCAATGCAGAGTAGTAACCGATGAATTTAGAATCTTGAAATTTTGCAGAGGTTCACTATATAGGGCAGATGAATAATAAGATGGGAATTTTGAAAATTCAACCCCCAGAGGGGTAAAACGGGAGTGGGAAGTTTGAATGTAATATCATCAATTAAGAAGTTATTGATGAAACTTAAATTATATTTTTATTGATATTTTATTTGATATATAACCCTTTTTATCATTCTTATTTAGCTTTGTTGACTACCAAAATGTGCATTTGGTACCAGTAGTAATTTTTGTTTTTATTATACCACTGCTATTATATTACAAGCGTGGCAACTTACATATGCCAAGCGTGGCAACTTACTGGCAAAACACTTATGGGGGAGTGCTATGTTCAACAGTGGATAGTTAACGGTTGATATGACGATGAAATTAGGCTTTATTGCGTTTAAGGTCAAAAATTGACATATAGAGTATAAGCGGTGTGCAGTTTTGGCATCTATTTAAAACTTTAATCTGTATTATCTTATAATAGAAATGAAAAATTTCAATTCGAAATAATATCTCAATGCTTATTTGCTAGCATACATTAATTTATTAATATTTGTACGTCCAATGGTGGCAAAACATAGCGTTCCACTTATATAAGACTCAAACAGTTTTTAACTGTACCTGTTTATTCAAATAAATTATCGAATGATTGATTGATTAAATGACAATGATTAATAGCGATAAATACAAATAAAACAAGCATTACCAGTCTAATACAAATGATGTTGTATTTCATAAATATATTAGGTTACAGGTATTATTTGACGTCACTGATTGGCCAATCAGTCATTTTAAAATTAAAATATAAAAAAAAAAACTTAAAGCAAAGCTTTATTAGATCATAGACATCCAGTTACCATTACCAGGCCCTGATGATGAAGCCAGGAGATTGTTAACTACAAATCAAAAAATATAAATCTGCCTACCCCAGACTCCATGATCAGGTTGGCTCTTAGATACCCATAATATTGCATTTCTTAGGGTTTACTTATCAATTAATCCTGATACCCGTTTACCATCAGACGGGCCGTATATTTGTTTGGCATCGTTGTGTAGTAAAAAATGGAAGTTTTTTTAAGAACTCAACCCAAATATACAAATTGATATTAATCAATTCAAAATTAAAATAAAAACCTTAACATTTCAGTGACAATCTCACGACTTAAAAAAATTAAGTTAGTACATCAGTTGAGTACTAGATTGTAAACCCCATGTAAAATAGTTTACAAGTTATTTATAAAAGTTGAGAGCGAGGTTATGTTAGACGAATAAAAATATTAAAAGATAAAAAGCTGCGTGAAGCAGTAATCGGATTGCTTCCGACAAAATCAAATCTCTCTAGTATCTATTTTATAACAATAAATTGGAAAATAAGTGTGCGCCACCCAAGATATTTTTGTTGACATTTAATCGATAGTATTATTTCGATTTTATCGACAAAGTCTCCTATCTCAATCGGTATTGATATTTTTAAATCTGCCGATTTATCAGTTAGAAGAAAAGTGAGCAAAGTATATACAATTGTATGGATTGTCGAGGGAAATTAGAAGCAACTTCATACAATCGCACAAACCTTGCTCCCCTATTATATCGTGACGGTAAAATCGTACTATATCGTGGTGCGCTACGATAAATTAAAATGATCTTAGACAATATCAATAACAAGTTAATTTATCGATATAATCGAGATATTGCGAGAAAGTCTATTTTAAAAACAATGTCGATTCATACGAATGATTTGGAGCGACCGATACTGAGTAAATTAAAAATAAACTTATTACAATAAAAGAAATAATGGAGACTTAGATTAGAAGGATTCAAAATAACTTGAGGTTAACTTGAATAGTTCTGTTCTACGTCTTTTTTCCTACTAGTGTTGCCTAGTAATCGTTGGGTATTTTTTTTAATGGGTGATAACGGTATGGTAACCTCGCCAACGCTATCGGTTTAAACTGGCGAAACACCAGTGAGAAATGACAGATAAGGATGAGGGCAGGTCAATTAGCTCATCCTGACGAATTCAGTCATTGTATACCGATAGCGTAGGCGGGGTTACCATTCCATTATCACCCATTAAAAAAAAATGTTACAGTCGATTTTAGATTATTTGGCGTTCCATTAATTTTGCCTACTGCAATAGAAAACGAGCGTCTCGTCTATGTATGTATATAATGGATTATGGAAATCCATACAATTGGTACTATTGACGGTATTGCTTGAATTTTAAACTATTTAATATATCACCCTCATACCCTACAGCCTAAATGGTCGCGTACAACGCGGATTCAGAGATGTTTTCTCCCACGAACACTCAGCTTATCAGGAATAAACTCCCTGCCGAGAGACTACAGCATGGGGTTCTTCAAAAGGGAAGTAAAGAGGTTTCTTTAGGGTGAACGACGCGCGTGTAACACCCCTAGTACTGCAGACGTTTATAGGCTACGGTAACTGCTTACCATCAGGTGGGCTGTATACTTATTTGCCACCTCAGTGGTATAAAAATAAAATCTATAGATCAATTCTGGATTATATATTATATAATCCAGTATCGATTAATTAATCGACAATCAATTATTAAGCAACACTAGTATCTACCTGTCAATATCGTTTGAGCTATTTTTACGTCCAAAGTGAGAGCGGGCAGCGTTGCAAGTGTCACATGTACGTATTTTACAATTTATCGTATGCTCTTATAAATAAGGTCCATATTTCGTAGATCAGTAATCTCTGAAGTTCCGGTTGGCCTTGAAGGAGCCGCCGCTGGGCGACGAGTTGAGGAACAGCTCGATGTAACGGTGATCCATGTTGTTCTTGTCGCGGCGCATTGCCTGCAACAATGGCAATGCATTTTAATCATATATTCTAGCACCTTTATGACTCACTTGAGTAAATACTACTAGTTTAATTTACATGACTAAAATATTAAATTATTAGTAATGCGGACTACCAGTTCCATTGTTAGCAATATGCCCATCCAGGTCGACCTCCACGTGGACCCCCTCGAAACCGTCGTGCTGAATTCCAGGTGAATTAATCACGATAGGCTAACTGGCCTGTCTTTTCATTCTCACCTAGACAATCCATCACTGGTGCCCCACCAGTGTATATCGTTAGCGCAGTCGGGGTTACCATTCCATTATCATCCATTAAAAAAACTGACCCATTGCTAGCAATACATCCTCCTATCAGGTCGTCCTCCATGCGGTGCCCCGCCAGCATATGCGGAATTAAAAATATCACAAACGTAAAAAACTTTTAAACAACGACTCCATATCTGGTAAGTTCTTATTTCTTCACCGCACTAGAATGAAAGAGAAAGATAGATGACAATTGCACAACTGACCCTCATGGCGTCCTCGTGGCACTCGAACTCGACATCGGCCTCGCCGGATGGCCGCCCGCTGTTGTCGTACAATATATTGATGTTCGTTGGCCAGATTGGTTTGAAGAACTGCAACATTCAATAAATACGAGATACTTTAAGCCGACTACTCAATAATAAGTGCCACGGTGAATCTACTGCGTTATTTTTTTATACAACTTAGAATGGCAAACAAGCTGACGGTCCACCTGATGGAAAGTGGTAACCGTCGCCTATAGACATGAGCAGTACCATGGACATAACAGAGTATACTGTTTCGACCATGATACCCCCCATGCGTTGCCATTCCTGAGGACTCAGGTGTTATTCCTCTGTACCCTGTAATTTCTATATTATATAGAGGAAAGATTTGATTTGTATGTTTGTTTGTAATTGATAAACTCAAAAATTACATAAACGTTTTGAGAAATTCACCCATACAAAGCTATATTACCAACGAGCAAAAAGAAAAGAGCAAATTTGTATTTTATAGATAGCTTATAATGAAGAAACGGTTATTACTCACGTAAGCTATATCCTGTGGCGTCGCTTTGAATGGCAGCCCGCGCATATGTACACTGTGACAGCCGCCGCCGCCGCCGCCGCCACCGCCGCGGTTACGGAACCCACCGCGTCCGCCGAAACCGCCACCTGGGTACGGGGGGAAGAGATTTTTAGTAATGGGGGTCTAATTGATACACCCTAAGAGGTTGACCTCCACGCGGTTCCCCCTAGAAACCGTCGTGATTAATTCTAGTGGAGTTCGTCGCGATGGGCTAACTGACCTTCCTTTTCATCCTCACTGGTACCCCGCCAACGTATCCCGATAGCGCAGCCGTTACCATTCCATTATCACCCATTAAAAAAAATATACCCAACCTGGTCGACCTCCACGCGATTCCCCTGGAAACTATCATGGTCAATTCCTGATGAATTCATCATGATGGGCTAACTGGCCTGTTTTTATACTCATCTATCACCCTTCACTGGTGCCCCGCCAGCGTATCCTGTTAGCGCAAGTGGGGTTACCATACCATTTTCACCCATAAAAAAAAATCCATGATATCCAAAAGATCCAGGGAGTACCGCGAGGAGTATGCCGGGATCAGACGGCCATGTGTTATATGTATGTATGTTGTATATATGTTACTATAATCATGTATTTATTATTAACTCTGTCCCATGCGCGCAGTAATATTATATCGTCTATAGACGAAAATAGTATTAAAAAACCACTGAACTAACCTCTGCCAAAGTTTCCTCTGCCACCGTACCGTCCCGAGAACCTATCATTCCTGTCGTACGGCGTGGGTCTGTAGCCGCGGTTGTTACGGAAACCGCCCTCCATTCGGGCGCTGTACGCGCGAACCTCGTCCGCTGAACTCCGGAACACTTCTATGTATCTGTGAATGACATCTCACGTTACAGGTACTGACAGATACAGGTGCTGATGTCTATGGTGAAAAACAGCTACTTGAATAATTTAAATTTAAAATTATATATACATGTTAATATATGTAGGTCGTATTCATACATGGCACGTATATGAGTTAAAAGAGCAACTATCCTAAAAATAAATGTTTTACATAGACATTATGTATAATTGTAACTTACATTCTAATTCTAAACAATTTTAAAATGCTCATTTACAGCGATATTACACGATTCAGCCATACTAATTCATCCTAAAGATTCACTGGTAGAGAATGCCTATAGCATTAACTGTTCATTTTGTACCACATTTTATTGGTCAATTTAGTTTAAATAAATAAACAAATAATTTATTAATTGGAATGCTTCACTGCTGCATTTACAATATTCAATTAGAAAAGTAGGAGTGAATCGTATATTATCGCCACTAGATCCTATCTGAAAACATCCATATATTTGTGACATAAAACAAAAAATATTAAATTAACAATAATATCCAAAATCTACAATAAATAGATTAAATATATATATATATATATATATATATATATATATATATATATATATATATATATATATATATATATATATATATATATATATATATATCAGACAATAATGATTACATGTAATTCTAATTATAAAACTTATTACTATTTTATTTCTAATAACTTATGAATGTACACGGTTTGTCACAATCGTAGTGTAGTTTGTCATTTATCATAATCGTAACTTATGGATGTACACGGTTTGTTACAATCGTAGTGTAGTTTGTCATTTATCATAATCGCAACTCATGATGTACACGGTTTGTCACAATCGTAGTGTAGTTTGTCATTTATCATAATCGTAACTTACGAATGTACACGGTTTGTCACAATCGTAGTGTAGTTTGTCATTTATCATAATCGTAACTTACGAATGTACACGGTTTGTCACAATCGTAGTGTAGTTTGTCATTTATCATAATCGCAACTCATGATGTACACGGTTTGTCACAATCGTAGTGTAGTTTGTCATTTATCATAATTGTAACTTACGAATGTACACGGTTTGTCACAATCGTAGTGTAGTTTGTCATTTATCATAATCGCAACTCATGATGTACACGGTTTGTCACAATCGTAGTGTAGTTTGTCATTTATCATAATCGTAACTTACGAATGTACACGGTTTGTCACAATCGTAGTGTAGTTTGTCATTTATCATAATCGTAACTTATGTATGTACACGGTTTGTCACAATCGTAGTGTAGTTTGTCATTTATCATAATCGTAACTTACGAATGTACACGGTTTGTCACAATCGTAGTGTAGTTTGTCATTTATCATAATCGTAACTTATGGATGTACACGGTTTGCCACAATCGTAGTGTAGTGTGTCATTTATCATAATCATAACTTATAGATGTACACGGTTTGTCACAATCGTAGTGTAGTTTGTCATTTATCATAATCGAACTCATGATGTACACGGTTTGTCACAATCGTAGTGTAGTTTGTCATTTACCATAATCGAACTCATGATGTACACGGTTTGTCACAATCGTAGTGTAGTTTGTCAGTTATCATAATCAATTACAAACCGATTAGTTTTTTTTTTTTATCTAAAACGTTACAATTTAATTTAATTGGGATAACAACAGCTTTTTACAAAATTCAATACATATTACACATTTACAACATGCTAGCCAATTATAGTTAGCAACAGCGTAAAACATAAGCATACGTTAAGCAAATAAAACTTACAAATCAGACGCATAGACAATTTTATCAAAATCTGTTCAGGAGTTTATTTTTGAAATCAAAACTGTTGGTTTTACCACAATTGAAGTCGATTTTTTTATTGAACGCAATGCTAATTATTACTTATTAGATGTATGTTTCCTTTCTAGTTTTAATGTGTAATATGTAACGTGGAACGTGTAAACCTTAGAACATTTATTTTTAAATACTGTCAAATTTGATTTTTCGATGTATTAAACAATCTAATAACAATCACTTGCCTACTAAATATTTCTATTTTTATATTTTGTAGTATTTTTATAACCGTTGTACATATATAAATATTATTTCCACTAAAGAGTTATAATTATTTTATACAACACTTGAAACGGACAGTATACAAGCAAGCAGTCCACCTGATGGAAAGTGGTACCCATAGCCTATAGGATTGTCATGTTTTCAAACTGCCAACAGTACTAGTATTACAAATGTAAACTATATGTCTACAATTACACCAATAATTTTATGAAATGTATATTTTATTACACCAACATATAAATATAACTATATACTGTTGAAATTTTACGAAACTTATGACGAATTTTATGAAAATGTATCCATTAGCTTTATGAATTAATCAAGATATTGTCTTATATATGATAAGTGTAATAAGATATACATAAAAAGAATAGAGATATCACGATACTTAAAAACTAATAGGTAATTAATTATAAATATAATAATACACCGACACCTTTTCATAAGAAATACCACAAAAACATATAATGTTCCACATCTTCATGTCTTCCCCGCTTCGTGGCCCTGGCGTTCGCCCCGCTCCCCGCGCCCCTCGCCGCCCATACCTTCGACAACTCAACATCCAATCACGTATGCACTTTGAAATGCTACCATATACTCTCTTGTACAATACTGTGTTTAGGTCATAGACAAGACATATTTTTTTATTTCTTATTAAACGCGCCATTATAGGGGTTATTAAACCATAAATATACAGGATCATGTGTTTATTTATAAGATGTAAATACAGAATGGAGAAATTAAAAAAAAAAAAAATCACTCATTTATTCTAATATATAAAATGAAGGGCATAAAAGATCTTACACATTTATTAAGGGGGCAAGAGATCTCATTTATTCTAACATACCAGATAAATGGGGAAAGGGCATGTCACAAATTTAATCCAATATACAGGATAAAGGAGGCAAGACATTCCCCTAGTTTATTCCAACATACCGGATGGAGGGAACAAGTGATCTCGCTCATTTGTTTTAACATATCAGATGAAGGGGAATAGAACATCTCACTAATTTATTCCAACATAGTGGATGGAGGGGATAAGAGATCTCGCTCTTTTATCCTAACATACCAACGAAGGAGATAGGACATCTCACTCGTTTAATCGAATATACAGGATAAAGGAAACAGGACAGGCCACTGGTTTATTTCAGTATAATTGATGGGGGGATAAGAAATCTCGCTTATTTATTCTAAGATACAGTTGGGGGACATGAGATCTCACTTGTTTAGTAATTTATTAATTTATAATATAATAACCCCCAATGAATTGGAAAAAAAAAAATATTGTAACTTCTTTTTGATTAATTAATTTCGAAGAAATAAAAGAGAAAGTTTTGAAATAGAATGGAGCTTTTACGGCGGTTTTTATGACCTAAATACAATAAAGTGGTAATTTGCGGTAGCATTAGAAAAGCGCATTAATTTAACCAATTTTTATTAAACTATTCCCTTACTCGAAGAACAATAATTGGTTGGGCTCTATGGTCTAGAGAAGAGAGAGGAAAAACGGAAACAGAAGTGCACGCGTCATTCAAATATCCAATGTCAATACCAACGTCAATAACGTAAATGAATATTTAATACATACTAATATTTCTGATAACAGAATAAGGCCCCCCATTCCTTTCCCGTGGGTGTCGTAAGAGGCGACTAAGGGAGGGCGAAGGATGGGCAGTAGCATCCTCTTAAAACATCTCCAAAGCCTAACTGCGGTCGCTAATCCGCCTGTCAAGCGTGGCAACTACTGGCAAAACCTACCTACGAGGCTTATGTTCGGCAGCGGACAGTTAAAGTCTGATATGATGATGACGATTTCTGATAAAACAAAACCTATAAAGAATAGACATTTACACAAACAAACAAGTTAACAATTATTAATTTTAGAATAGTCTTTGATACTAAAATATGTAAATTTTAAATTTATACTGGCTGTAGACACTATAAAACAGCACTGAATTGCATTTGTTTAATTGATTTAAAAAAAAGTGGAGATTCTTAATTCGTCAGAATTTAAATTTTTTTATGTATGCTCCTCGATTACTCGAAGATGCGTGGACCGATTCGAAAAAATATTTATTTATTTATCTAGGAATCCCCTAGAAATTTTATCAAGATCAGTTCAGTAGTTTATTTTTTAAATTAAAATAACTGGACTTTTTAAATAAAAAATATTTGATTTTACCACTATTGCAATTGGTTCTTTTTTGTGGAACGCAATCTTAAACGCACAATAAGTTTCAGAACTAGACAATATTTACTGCGAGACGCTAATAACGACACGACTTAAGGAGACTTGTCATTTCTTTTATTTAATAAAGACACGAATCTGGTACTTGTGAAGCCCAGCCCTCGTAATTTTATGTCTTTGTTCTGTAGACCATAGAGCAAAACAATCCTTATCCCAAACATATCCCACCCACTACACCAAATATTACATTGGTGTGGTTTGTGAATGTGCAACACCCACGGTGGACATCTTAAGATTGTATATTACTTTTATAATAACAACTAAATGTCATTAAAAAAAAAAAAGATGTAAATTATCATTGAATAAAGACTGTATACATTCCAGTTGTTAAGTGTATATCAAAAAAAAAAATTAATCAATAAAATAAAAAAAAAATTAACAACACACCTTGAGGATTTTTTTTTATACAACTTAGAATGACAAATAAGCTGACGGCCCACCTGATGGAAAGTGGTAACCGTTGCCTATAGACATAAGCAGTACCATGACATAACAGAGTATACTGTTTCGCCCATGATACACCCCATGCGTTGCCATTCCTGAGGACTCAGGTGTTATTCCTTTGTACCCTGTAAATTCATACCATATCCCACCCTTCAAACCGAAACACAGCTACTTCACGGTTGAAACACGAATAGGACAGAGGTACCCAAGCAATCGACTTTTATACAAATTCTCCCTCTGGTAATACATTAGATTCTTATAGATGTTTCTAGCAAATAAATTTCATTTCATTTCATAGATAATCTTAACTGACGAGACATCAGGGTTACCAGATGCCATAAAAATGAAGGGAATCGTATAGATTAGAAAAAGAAATTACTACTATTATTTAAAAAAAAAAACTATTAAAAAAAAACACCCAAATTTCTACAAACACATTTTACTTTTTTCAAGAGTTACTTTCCTCCAAAATTTACTTAAAAAGGAAAAAAAAAATTCTATCTGGCAACGCTACATGACGTTTATATATATCGACAAACTAAATAAAAAAAATATGACTTTAGTCGACTTTGATTTTAGTTGATACACCATTCACAACTGATAATATATACAAAGACAATATCTGCATATAAAAAAACAAAACTAGATTTCAATTTGCGAGTACAAATCATCCACAAGAAGTATTCATTACAAATAAGATTGTCACCACGGCGTCCACAAACCACATATTAAGGAACTGGCCCCCCACCTGTGTCCTATTTTCTCCCTGTCCCTGAGGAGAGCCTCCTGAGCGCTCTCCTTGTCAACGAAGTGCACGAACGCCTCGCCCGAAGCCCGCCCCGTGTGGTCGGATAGCAAGTGTACCCCATCTACGGCGACAGTCAGGCCTGCCCCACCCGACGTGCAAATAAAGATCAGGTTATGATATTTGTGTGACCCGTTCTACTTCACTGTGGTCTATAGTCGAGATGTTTCTACCACAATACTGGCAATGTCTGTGTAATCGGTCAATTTTACATATTTCTGAGTGATCATTCAAATAATATTTATTAAAATAGACTTGTTTACAAACTCTTTTAATTCGTCTCACTTTATGATTCTATCACTGGGCTCGGAATATTGTTATCTGCTAAGAAGAGCCCGCAAGAAATTCAACAGTTAAATTTGTCAGTGAGCTAAAATATCAACCATGTTTAAAATCTACCACTGAAATCATGAAATTTTATGCAGAGTAATAGTATAGTATTTGGAATGGTGTAAGGGGTGCCTAACCTGGTCATATGCCAGTAAAGCATATACTATACAAGATGGGTCTATCTTCGGACACACTGCAGATTATGCAGTGAGAATTTTGGAACACCTGATGTGCAACTGTGATTCATTGTCAAATATGCATATGAGTCTATTGGGAACGACTTATCCAGAGCCAAGGGACTATAGATATTTTAAACCGCGGGATATACCAAAGGTAACACATGGAATCTATAAAATGATGGTATAAGGCAGGGGTCGAAGCACAAAAGACCCTAATAGGTCGACGTGCAATGGCTTAGCTGACCCCATACATGAATAAAAGATAAGATAAAAAACTTGGAATAGACACTTTATTTATTTTATGATTAATGCTGATTTTTATCTGTCAATGATGATGAATCAATGAAATTCAGAATATTACATGACATAAAAAAAAATATTATATTAATCATTCAGAAATATTACAATTTGTATTTAAAGTTTAACAGGAAATGCTGACATTGCCAGTGTTAGGATATGAACTTCACTTACAATTCATTTAATTCGTTCTCATAGAAATATATATAAAAAAATCCTATTTTTTAATCCACAATCAATGTTTCAGCAGATGCATTTTATGTATAATTTTTATCAAGTAATGTACTCCATTAGGAATTTGAGAACACTACTCTTATTAACAGAAGATATATATATAAAATCAAGATATCCTGATATCTATGGTATCTGAAAAGCTTTATGGCTTAAGGAAATGACAGACTTTGGACGAATGGTCCATCAGTCTTGTATAAAAGCATACATAACAACTAAAGTATGTAATTAATAACATCATTTTACTAGTTTTTACCTGCGACTTAGTCTATGTGACCTAAATATATTTACTGACCAGGAGAAAAGCCTACAACCATCTCTAGGGTCCCATCCATCTCTATAACAAAATTCATCATAATTGATTCAGCGGTTTAGACATGAAAGCTTAACAAACAAACTCACTCTCGGTATGGGCAATAGGACTTAATAGAATTACCTAGAATCTAGCTAAATGTTAAATAATAGTTTTATCTTTTTATATATATATATATATATATATATATATATATATATATATATATATATATATATATATATATATATATATATATATATATATATATATAATGTTTTAATTTTAAATTGAATAAACACTTCTTTGCAATCAAATACAATAAATAATTACTCAAACAGGTCTCATGCAAAATTTCAATACAGAAACGGTGTATTTATGTATTGGACAGAAAAAAAATCAAATTGATCATATTACTACAATTCTGAAACAGTAAATTTGAAAAACACCTTAATTATTCATATATAACAAAGAAATGTGTTATACTGTGTACAACTTTAATTCTATAATATTATATCTTCCAAATATGAGTGTTTGATATTAAATCCTATAATTTATTTCATCAATTAAGTATGACCACAGTGAAGCTATATACACTGATAATTTACTATCCCCAAAAGGAACAAAAGTTGTGTTTAATAATTTTTTTTTTCAAAATTTTTATTATTGAAATTGAAAATATTCTTACCGTCAAAGAATTGAATGATCTCATCCTTGGAGCAGCCAAATGGCAGTCCACGGAGTTTGACTACTCCCATGTCATCGGTGACATTGGGTATGCCACCAAATCCGTTCTCATTTTGCCGCATAGCATTTAGAGCCCACTCCATGTCTTGCCGGTCAGTGGAGAAAACTGAAATTAAATTATTTTATAAAAATATATTTATATATTATTAAGGATTAAATGGAAAAGATGTATATGTAATTGTAGGATACAATAAACTTAAAAACATTTTTACTTGATATTGGGTACATTAAATTAAATTTACAGAGTACAGAGGAATAACACCCGAGTCCTCAGGAATGGCAATGCATGGGGGGTATCATGGGCGAAACAGTATACTCTGTTATGTTCCATGGTACTGCTCATGTCTATAGACGACGGTTACCATTTGCCATCAGGTGGGCCATCAGCTTGTTTGTCATTCTAAGTTGCATAACAAAAAATTATAAAATATGATTTAAGGCTTAGTACTTGCAAAGATATGCTTAAACAAGTACATCAGTAAACATATTCCAGTCACACTGATGAGGTTGTGGGTAAAAGCTAGCTGGTTTATGATGGAGTTCTGAGATAACAAACATGAAACTACATGGAACAAACAGCATGGTCTATTCAAAAAGGGCATATTAATGTTTCTTAAGAGTTTACAATGTGTGCATGACATCTCTGGTGTTATACGCGTCCATAGACTTTGTTAACCATGTTTACAACCAGACAGTGCCATATAAAACAAAAATATAAACAAATAAAATTGTGTTCCATAAAAGTGTATTCATAACATGTTTATGTTAAGTGTATTCCATAAATAAGTGGTTTTGTCACAAATAAAGTCTTTATTTGTGACAAAACCATTTATTGTGATATAAAAACTAAATTATTAAACCAATTTTGCTAAAATTTCTATGAAACAATCTGTAAGTATAACCTTCATATAAAAAAAGATAAATTTTCAAATCAGTTTACAACTAACAAAATTATAAAGTAAAAAACATAAAAAAAAAAACTAATTGAAAACCTTCTTTTTTGAAGTCAATTGAAAATATTTGTGTTTCACAAAAAAGAAACAGCTTGGAACTTTCAAATCACAATAAAATTAATATTTTGTTTTTTTTTTTTACTCCTGTACTGATTGATATCATAAAGATTTTGTCAAAATTATGATGATTTTTTTTCACGGAACAGTATACTAATTTAATTACATAAATTAAGAGAATTTAATTATTATTACCTTCAATATATCTTTTCCCCATATTTTCTTTGTCCTTTTTGAGAGCAGCATCTACATCTTCCTGAGTTTCCACTTCAACAAAGCATTCTCCCGAGGGTCTTCCTGGGCGCACTTCTGTCATGTGTATACCTGTAAACAAGTTATAATTAAGTAAACTAGAGGAACAGTATACAGTAGTTAGAGAAATGAGTTCAACTTGTGGCAGGAGTGTATGATAAATTCAGAAAATTTAAAATTAATTTAATTAGTCCTGAACACTACAAGTACCGATACATTTATACAAGTATACTTATTGTAAAACACTGCATATTGATCTAAATGGTGTTGTGGTAATGTTGCTTAATCATAAATACATAGAAATAAGGTTAAAAATAAGGTTAGGAATTGTGCTATATTATGGTCATTTATTCACAGATGAAGACTGTGTATGTATGGATGAGTGAGTATGCATATATTCTATTTTCCAAATTCTAACATCATTTTATCAGTACCGCGAATGGATAACTCTGAATAATGAAGGCCAATGGACAGGGAAATTTTAGTTTTAAAAAAAAAAAAAAATTACTTAATGAAGAATAAAGATCTAAGCATGCACATCAAGCGAAATGATGCATGACATATGGTTGTGAATCATGGGCTCTAAGGCACCAGCAAAGAGTAAGATTAGCTAGTACACAAGAGCAATGGAAAGGAGCATGTTGAGCACCATGATTAATGATAAAATCAGAAATTCTGAAATAAGAAGAAAAACTAAAGTTACAGATATAATAACTCATATAGAGCATTTAAAATGGGGTTGGACAGGACATATGCTATGTTACAAAATTGATAAATGGAGCAGACAAGTAACTTTATGGTATCCAAGAGAAGACACTAGAAGAAAGGGGCGTCCGAAAATAAGATGGATAGACGACATCCGTCAAACCTTAGGGCCTTACTGGAGTAAAGTGGCGGAGGATAGAGTTCAGTGGAGAGAGCTGGAGGAGGCCTATGCCAGGAGGCACACCGAATTGAGAGATATATTATAATAAATAGAAAGGGAAAATATGTCTTACTAGGGTTATAGTGAATTCGGAATAAAAGGGCTTATATATAATTACTTGATGTAACTTACCTTCTTTGCCATTAACAACGTTAACGCCATTAAGAAAATCTAGAACATTTTCAACAGTTGTAGAGAAAGGCAAGCCGCGTAGTTTTATGATGTGGCTACTATCTCCGGATCCCAACATGATTGACTGCACTTAGAATAATTTGGAACAATTTTTTAGAAAATATGCTCACTATTGTTACGTATAAATTTAAATGTAAGATGCGTTTAAAAACAAATTCGAAGCGCCTTGATAGGGATAAAAATATTAAATGTGCGTTATAGAAGGACAACTTAGCTTGGCCGCCATTTAATAAATAAAATAATTAAAAAAAAAGTTTGTGTTACCAGCAAATAATAAAACTCTCAACTTTGGGTAACCAAGATAGATGAGTTAAATTATGGTCTGTTTATTACAAGTAATTGAAAAAGTTACATTTTCATAAAACCGTAAATACCAATCAATATTTATCACAAAGTTAAAGTCTTAGGTTAAAGTACATAAATCTTGTGATCGATGATTTTTATGACACAAACTGTCAAAAGGAAAAAAAAATGTTTCTACAACGTTGTATAAGTAGATATAATAATAAATTAATCCGAATGTCTGAAACAGTACGAAACAATTAAAAAAGAAGTTATAAATGTTTATAACTTATTAAAACTGAAATTATATAAGGAACATTAGCTATTATTGTAGTATCAATATATAAAATAAAAATTTATATGTAGCATGTAGCATGATGTGATGGTGATGACACAGCATACATTAAGGAAAATACCTAAAATTAAATCAAAATATTGAGAAATTGTGTTATACAAATACCTACATAAATAAACCGTTAGCATAGACGTAATATAACGTACTACGTATAGACAAACTGGCTTTACAACCCCAAAAACGACGAACACTACAAGAAAGATTTTAATTGAAAGACATTAGTGTGGTATTGTAAGTTTGTCTTCTAGTTTAGATTTTTCTTGTGACGTGCATGGTTCTGGTACTTTTTCTTTGCATCTATTCTCGGACAGAAGCTTTCGGTTCATTTTCTTTCCTCTTTAAGCAATTTTTATTAATTTAAATATGTAGGTACTTAACAAGATCTTTATTAGAATATATGTTTTATTTAACTTTTATTATAAACATAATTAATTTCAATATGAATACGCTTTTCAAAATATTTCTAACTCTATATGCTATACGTAATTTATTTTGACGGTTTTAAATTTTTTTATTTCATATTGAAAACCCTGATACTATATAATTATTTGTTTCTAACAAAGTTAGAAGAATGATTTTTTTTTAATAATTGTTATACTTAAATACAATTAAGTCTCGTAGACCTAAATGCAGCCCTCCTTACAGAAGTATGTTCATGAGATGTAAAAATTACATCTTATACGTATTACAAAATAAAAACACAATAATTTTGTACTTTATTTCAAAGTTTCTAAATAATAGTATGCTGTTTCACGCAATTATCTAAAGATTATTTACAAATACACACTCTAGTAACGTGTATTTTTTATATTTCTATAATTTATAATAGATTCACATAAAGATGTTTACATACTGGTAAAATGTTCAATCTGGTATATTTCTATAAATTACACTATCTAACAAATAGGTTATCTAACAAATACCTTTTTTCTACATTTGTAACAATGAAAATCATAAAATTTTCGGTATTTAATATAGTTTGAGTATATAGCTTATACAGCTTATCAATATGGGACTGATGTGTGTTCAAATGTGCGTCACAATTCGATGGAGCTTTATTATACATGACAGAAAAGACAGTGGCGCGTTCATTGAGAAATATCTTATTTTTGTATCTTACTCATGCTTTCAACTTATGCTTTGTCTGTTTTATTATATCTTTGTGGTTTACACCCTCTCTATACCTATCACTAAAATTTAAACTTCATATTGATATCACAGCGAACTTTCATTGTTAGGACCAATATGAATTAATTTTCTAATGGATAAAATAGTAATTTCACAAAATTATCAAATTAAAATAACAGGTTAAGAGATAAGTGTCGGCTCAGAGTCGACGACAATGTCTGTGTATACAGCTTAATTTTATAGTTTCGTAAATAGGTAATTGTAATTCTTCAATTCTTTGAATTCTTATTTATTCTATGGTTTACGCATAGGTACCTAGTTTCTCTAATCTGTGGAGTTAGATAGCATAATGTCAGTTAGTGGAGACATGTCAGTTTTAGATTAATCTTGGTAGTTTTCTTTCTGATTTGTGTTAATTATATTTCAGAATTTCCTACATATCTATCTATCTTTTTTATCTTGTTTTTATTCATAAATATAGCTTTTAACGTTACCAAGTGTGAATATTTATTGTGAAAATGACGGTAGACGGGGACGAGAAGCCTCCAAATGATCGCGTTTTCATGGACATTTCCATAGGCGGTTTGCCCTCCGGTCGTATAGTCTTCGAATTGTTCAACGATGTGGCTCCGAAAACTGCTGAAAATTTTCGTGCCTTATGCGCTGGAGATGCGGGCGTGGGAAAGGTTACTGGGAAACCTTTGACGTACAAAGTAAGTTTTATTATTAAAAGTACACGTTATATTTTAATTTAAGACCACTCGGGTTAACCTACGTGTATATTTGAGAATGTAATTTTATTTGTAATTTGTTAGACTAGTTTCGGGACCATCCGGTTTCCCCACCCCTCCTTTTTTTTAATGGATAATAATGGAATGGTAACCCCATCTGCGCTAACAGTATACGCTGGCGCGAGGCAAGGGATTGTTGGAAATGCAGATTGCCCATTGTTAGCAATATACTTCAACTTCCACATGGGTCCCCCTAGAAACCATTGTGCTGAACTCCAAATGTATTCATTATGATGAGCTAACTGTTCTGCTTTTTCGTTTTCACTTATTATCCCTCACTGGGGCCCCGCCAACGTATACCGTTAACCCTACCTGGGTTACTATTAAAACGGGTTCATTATGTCTATACATGCACAATGGGAATTCTATGACTGTACTGTTTGTTATTTTTGACAATTGTTTCAACTCAATCTGAATGTTTTCTTAAACAGTTTGGTGTTTTATATTTTGCTGTGTGGTCATAGCATAAAATAGGCTATCCCTTACTTTCCTGTGGAAGTCGTAAGATACGACTAAGGGAGGGTGAAAGATGGGTAGCAGCATCCCTCTTAAAATATCTCTAAAGCCTATCTGCGGTTACCAATCCGATACCCCAAATCATCGATCAAACCACCTATGGGGCAAGCTTATATTTAGCAGTGGACAGTTAAAGGCTGGTATGATAATGGTGATGCTTTAGTGTTTTTTCTGTGTCACAATGTCTCGCCTTGCGCTGCTCATAAAATTCCTGTTGTCCATGTGTACTGGTATGTAGGTATGTATGTGTGAGTGTGTTGTGCATGTGTATAGACATAGCCAAAGTTGATAATTCATTTATTTTGTAATTTATAGGGCATGGTTTTCCATCGGGTTGTAAAGGACTTCATGATTCAAGGAGGTGACTTCACTAACGCTAATGGAACTGGTGGCGAATCTATATATGGCGGTACATTTGAAGGTTTGTTTAATTTATTATGATGGTGATAATGAAATAGTAACCCCACCCGCGCTATCGGTATATGCTGATAGGGCACCAGTGAAGGATGATAGACGAGGATGTAACAGGTCAGTTAGCCCATCGTGACGAATTCAACGAGAATTGTTCACGATGGTTTCCAGGGGGAACCACGCAGAGGTTGACCTGATAGGGCATATTGCTAGCAATGGGGCTGTCAAACTCCATTGCTAACAATCCCTTCCCCCCTAGCTTTTTCTCTTGACTTTGTCTGTCTGACTGGAATTGTGTTAATTGACCATATTAAATAGTAGTTTATGCTTTTCTTCATCTCCTGAAGTATGTGTGTATATAATTTTATAACTATTGATCTAGTTGATAAAGTGTCGAGAGGTAATACACAAGCAAGTTATATGTATAACAGTATATTTGTAAGTAACAGTAACACAACCACCATCTTTCATTTTCTTTATTTTTTTTATGTAACTTTGAATGGCAAACAAGCTGACGGCCCACCTAATGGAAAGTGGTAACCGTCGCCTATAGACCTGAGCAGTACCATGGACATAACAGAGTTATACTCTTTCACCTATGATACTTCCATGCGTTGCCATTTCTGAGAATTCAGGTGTTATTCCTCTGTATCCTGTAAATTTATTGCTATATCTCACCCTTCAAACCGAAACACAGCCATGCAAAAACAATTGCTTCACAGTAGAAACACGAATAAGTCAGATGTGCCCAAGCAAACTACTTTTGTACAAAGTCTTATTCTAGTACCATAAACCTTCCCAAAGACAACACTTAGTTTTGTCACCTATCATAACAGTTATTTATATTAGCAGGTAGTTCTTGAAAGAACAAATTAAATTTTAATTTTGAAATTTTAAATAAGTAAGTTAAATTTTACATTGAATGTTTTCAGATGAAACTTTCGAATTGAAGCATGATCAACCATACTTGCTGTCTATGGCAAATAGAGGCAAAGACACTAATGGATCACAATTCTTTATGTAAGTTCATGGCAGGAGAATGGTAAGAGGAGAGTAGATAAAGTTGATTTACAGTTAAAAAAATATGACTAAACTTAAGGTCATAGAACAGGTCTGAATTTTTTAAAGAAGTTTTTAGAAGTTTTTTTGGAATGAAGAGTATATAATCTCACTTTTGGAATATTTCAGAACAGAAGAATTTTAGGAACAAGCCCTACATATATATTAAATAGTAGTTACTGTAAGTTTGTTTCAATTACAAGCAAAAAATGCTTAGTGCCATTCATAGTTGGACTGATCATTGGTTCATAGATTCACTGTTTTTCTAACAAGATGCTCTGGTGCTCAGGACTTTAAAAGCATGGCTATACTGATTTATTCCTACATCGTAACATTATTAATTTCATGAGACTTACATATGTTTTGTTTCATGTTTAAATACTTTTTCTTATCGTAATGTAGAGATCTCTAGTTTAATCCAGGGGTAATAAAAGTATTTTATTTTATGTCACGCTACACGTCACAGACACGGTGATAAATGATAAATCTATGGTGATAACAGTTTTTTTTTTATTTCTATAGACACTATAGAAACCAGATTTTTAACTTCCATTTAGATATATTTGTGAAATAAGACAATGAATTTGTATTATTATTATAGATATAGCATTACAATTAATTCACGCTATTTATTGAATATTCCAATATATTTTAAATACACTTTCAGGACTTAAGGTGACGTAATTGTAGGTAAATAATACCAAACTATTGTTGACATTTCGACCTGTATTATAACTCGTTGAAAATAAAATGAAACGTTGGCAATAAAAATCAGGTATGTAGGTACTATTTATTTGAAATGGCATCGCGTTTAGTTCCGATAGTGTATTTAAAATATATGTCAACAATGCGAAGGATTAAAATGACCTATTTCTATATAATTTTTAAACTTTAATATACTGTAATAGTAAATAATTTATCAACAATATAAAAAAATGAAAAAACAAATCTGAAATCAGCCCTGAATTTTATCTGACTACTTCTGTCGGGAAGTAAATAACTCTTTTCCTTTAGAGGGTGGATATAAACACTATCAGGTCACGAGTAAATGGTTGTAAAAATAGATTCCTCCTAGTTTTAAACTTAGGCTATTATTTTAAAGTTTTTCTGTAACATCAAAGACTCCTTGTTAGAGACCACAAAAAATAAATAGACGTGAATTAATTTGTGTGGCATATATCTCGCCGGGCCCGTGCGTGTGCGTGCGTGTGCGTGCGTGCGCGTGCGTGCGCGTGCGTGCGCCGGGCCCGCGTGTGCGCGTGTGGCGTGACGCGTGTGTTGTGTACGTTGCGTAGAGGGGGCGTGGCGGGCGGCGCATGCAGCTGGCCCGCTATCATTCTTGTTGTGTTCTGTGTGTTGTAGAACAACACAGCCGGCACCGCATCTCGACAAGTGAGTATACCACTTTATTGTTTTAGAATAGCTTAGAATACAGGGCTGTACAAACGAGGAACTTGTACATAGATAAATTTTTTTCTTGTCGATTCTGTGGTCGATTTGTGGTTTTGACAGTACACATATGTATTCTGCAATGTAATATTAGTGTTGTAATTTGACTAGAAAGTATTTAGAATCATTCCTCGCTTGTGCAGGCCCTAATTGTTTTTAAAGCATGATTAGAGAAATAATATGTGATATGGATATAAAGAATCGAAGCATTTGAGTTACATTGTTTCTGCCTACCCTAGTGGGTGTGTAGATATATATGTATATATAGATATAAAAAATTTTGAGGCATTTATGTCATATGACTGTTTTATTCTATATGATTTGACGTAAATAAATGATGCGCAACACGTTGTATTTTTTTGCGTGTCAGTGTGCACGTAGTGTTCGGGCACGTGGTGGGCGGAGCGGCGCTGGTGCGGCAGCTGGAGGCGCTGCCGGTGGACCGCAACGCGCGCCCCCTGCAGGACGTCACCGTCGCCAACTGCGGACAGCTGGTGCGGCTCCGGGCAGGTCGGTTGCCACACAACACACACCACATGACACTCGACATACGTCACACGACACACGACATACACTACACGACACATGGCATACGCTACACGATACATGACATACGGCATACGCCACACGACACGTGACGTACGCCACACGACACATGACATATACTACACGACACGCGGCATACGCCACACGATACATGACATACGGCATACGCCACAAGACACGTGACGTACGCCACACGACACGTGACGTACGCCACACGACACATGACATACACTACACGATATACGCCACACTCTTTATAACGTACGCCCCTTGCATGAAGTAGTTTTATTTTGAACTTCTTTTTACACGGAGAAAAACGATTATATTAATCACGGAAGTATTGTTTTACAGGTAAGAAGCGTAAGCAAGACAAAGAAAGGGAGAAGGAAGGCAGCGATGCGGACTCGGAACACTCGCATAAGAAGGATAAGAAGAAGAAGAAAGACATGAAGGAAAAGAAAAAGAAGAGGTAAATTAGACATGCTGCGGTATGCAGTTTGGTACTTAAATAGTATTACACCAAGGCAACACAGGCAATTATGCATTTGCTTGTGTTACCATTCCTGAAGATTAAGATGTTTGGCTTGCTTACCTTGTAATTCCACTGCTACTCTTCAAACTCCGGGGGGAAAGGGATTGTTAGTAATGGAGAGTGAGAATCCCATTGCTAGCAATATACCCAACCAGGTCGACCTCCTCGCGGTTCTCCCTGGAAACTATCATGATTAATTCCTGATGAATTCATCATGATGGGCTAACTGGCCTGTTTTCATTCTCATCTATCACCCTTCACTGGTGCTCCGCCAGCGTATCCCATTAGCGCAGGCGGGGTTACCATACCATTTTCACCCATCAAAAAAAAAACCCTTCAAACCCAAACAGCTGCTTGGTTGTAAAAATACTATTGGAATAGATTTACCTATGCAGAAAATTTATTCAAAATCTGATTTTTTTTGTTACTACTCAGTCAACCAGAGTGAGACTTTGTACAAAAGTCGTTTGCTTGGCCATCTCTATCCCAGCCGTGTTTCTACCGTAAAGCAGTTGTGTTTGCATGGCTGTGTTTCAGTTTGATATGGCAGTGAATTTACAGGGTACAGAGGAATAACACCAGGAGTCCTCAGGAATGCTAACGCATGGGAGTATCATGGGCGAAACAGTGTACTTTGTTATGTCCATGGTACTGCTCATGTCTATAGGCGACGATTACCACTTTCCATCAGGTGGACCGTCAGCTTGTTTGCCATTCTAAGTTTCAATAAAAAAAATGCTGTGGTGCCACAATGCCAATAACAATATGGTCCATCTGATAGTAAATGGAGTTACCATAGCCTATGGATCCCTATAATATCAGGAAAGTGACGCGCTGGTTAAGTAACCTTAATAAAATCTGTACTAAATGTACTTATAATTCATAAAAAAAATACAGGCGTCACTCTGGACCATCTGCTGATGAAGAGGAAAACACCGAGCAGCCCTCTCACCCTTTGGTGACCACGTCCAAGATTGACCCCCGCGAGATTCCAGACGTGCCCACCAACAGGTTCCTGATGAGAGGCGGACGCGACCAGGATAACAGGGAGCGGAATGACCCTAGGAGAGACAGAGAAAGGTGCAGTATTAGAAAGGATTAGCTTTACTAGTTATCCGGTCAGGCTTTGCACGGGAGATAGTATTTTAAAAAATAATAAATATAAAAATAAAATAATATGGCCCATATTACTTACTGATAATGTAGTGCGTTTTTCAAGACACTTTCTCCCACGCACAACCACTCTTTGGAATCAACTTCCAGCAGCAGTATTTTTGAACCGATACGACAACATAACCTTCAAGAAAAGAGCATATTCCCTTTTAAAAGGCCGGCAGCACACCTGCGATGCCGTTGGTGTTGTGGGTGATCATGGGCGGCGGTAGTCACTTACCATCAGGTGAGCCGCATGCTCGTTTGCCCCCTGTGTTGTTAAAAAAAAGAATGTAGGTTTCTATAGGTCAGGGGTGGCCGACTTGACTAGACCCAAGATCTACTGTTTACTGACGGAACCCTGTGCGATCTACCAATTGCATACTTCTTGAAATCTCAAATGACACAAAAGTTGCCTGGAAGAGATCGTTTTTAGCGATAAGGTCGTCCATTGTTTTCTCATTGTGATTATTTCTTGTAATTGTTTGTATTTATAATAAGTTTACTATTGTAATCTTTTGAAGGAAACTATAAAGAGTATCTATCTATCTATCTATCTATAGTTCAGTACATAATTATGCAGTATTGTAGTATTTTTTTTATTAAGTGGAAAAACATAATTAGGGTACTCACTTGTGTAGAAAATTTCATTCAAATCCATTCAACAGTTTTGGCGTTAAAGAGTAACAAACATATATCCATCTGTGGCCTATATATATTCGTATATGTAACAAGCTTCAAAGCTTTTGAATTCCTGTAGGAAAATAAATAATACCAGAGCGCAAGCGAGGTTGCGCGCGCAGAATTAAATGTGATATTGTTATTCTTTTTAAAATATATGGACGTTTTATTTATTTATTTTAATTTATTTAACACTTTATTGCACCAACATAACATGATTTGTTAAACAATTTTCAATACGTATAGTGTAGTACAAAAGGCGGTCTTATTGCTAAGCAATCTCTTCCAGACAACCTTAACATTAACGTTTTAACATTTGGTTGAATATTTTACTGACTCATTTCCCATACATCTATCCTTACAAACTTTCGCCTTTATTTAATATTGTATGGTACTGTGTGTGTATGTATGTTCATTAGTATACAATACATAGCTGGAAAGATGAGAATTATGAAGTAATTTCATTGAAGCGTGACGTGTTATGTGAGCGTGTATGTATGTAAATATTATTCATGTATTCCATTCCTTTTGCAGTTTATGTCAATTGTTACAGTAAGTTACAGTAAAAATATTAATAATTAAATTAATTAAGTACTCGTAACTAAAAAATAAGTCGGATACCTAATTTTTTATGTGGGAGAGAGATTAAACAATAAATAAACTATTTTACGTTTATAGAGGAAATTTTTTGTTACATTCGTACGTATTTTTTGTAACTACTACTAGTGTGAGCGAGGGGCCCTCTGGTGTCGAGACATTCTAAGCCACTTACGTTAAACACGAAATCCTCAGACAGTTTCTCGAATGATTTCTTGTGAAACAAGTGATATGAATTTGAAATTTCGAGAGGGTCTCCACACATCAATCAGGTGTTGTCCAACCGAGATATCAGCCATTTTGATGAGGTTTCTTTTTCTATTAAATTTGCATTTTTTTTAGACAATTGAAAAAAGATGGGTTCAAAATGCCATTTTATTTAATTTGCCGTGTAGTCTCGGCATAGAATAGGTTACCCCTTCCTTTACTGTGGCTGTCGTAAGAGACGACTAAGGGAGGGCGAGGGATGAGCAGAAGCGTCCCTCTTAAAATATCTCTTAAGCCAAACTGCGGTTGCCAATTCGCCTGTCGAGCGTGGCAACTACTAGCAAAAGCACCTAAGGGGGAGGCTTGTGTTCAGCAATGGACAGTTAAAGGCTGATATGATGATGATGAAGTTACTTAAGTAAGACATAAATTACTTAAGTAAGACATAAATAAGTAAGACATAAATTACTGAAGTAAGACATAAATTAAATAAGTAAGACATAAATTACTTAAGTAAGACATAAATTACTTAAGTAAGACAAATTACTTAAGTAAGACATAAATTACTTAAGTAAGACATAAATAAGTAAGACATAAATTACTTAAGTAAGACATAAATTAAATAAGTAAGACATAAATTACTTAAGTAAGACATAAATAAGTAAGACATAAATTACTTAAGTAAGACATAAATTACTTAAGTAAGACATAAATAAGTAAGACATAAATTACTTAAGTAAGACATAAATTATTTAAGTAAGACATAAATTACCCCAAAGGTAGTTGTGGATTTCATAGGATATTCCTATAAACGGATCCTCTGTCTGTCTGTCCACAGGATGCGTTTCCGCGAGCGAGAGCGTCACTCCTACACACGCAGCGGCAGGATCATCAAAGGGCGGGGTGTATTCGTAAGTTGTCTACGTCACGGATATACAGAAACATAGTAATACGAATAATTTGTAATAATTCTTTATTAATTAATAATGTAATAATAATAATGTATTTGCCAGAAACTTAAATAATATGATGTTACAGTTTGTATTTTAATGTTCGCCATATTATATAAATCTTTTAGTAATATATTTTAATAATAATAATAAACGATTTATTGCATATACCACAATATATAAGTAATAAATTTATGTATATGGACATAAAACTGAAAACGATAAAATAGGAAATCGAGACATTCAGCAAAAACTATCAGTCCAGATTGAACAGCCATAGAAATTAATTTGGCCGCTCAATTACAGGGATCGGGATGCATTAGTTTCTCTTGATTAAAAAGACACAGTATCCAAGGACTGGTAGAAAGATTTACAGGCAGAGACTGAGAGCTGGTTAATGGATTGGCCTCGTCATTTATTAACAAAATTTAAACCTGACATCCAAACAGCAGATCGGATTATTGTTCTATAAGGAACAGATTGCCAATTAGCAGACTAGAAAAAAAAAATTGCATATAAAAATATACAGTCCATGGGCTTACAGTATTTTCATAGTGAAATATGTATGTATAAAATGTAACATTATGCCCGGCACATTAGTGTCTAAACTAGGCCTAGCGTGTATCTTAGACACCAATGCCTGCAATTAGATACATATTTTCGTGCAGTTTCGCTATATTATAATAGTACAAGATTCAGTAAACAAAATTCTTTTTTTATACAACTTAGAATGGCAAACAAGCTGACGGCCCACCTGATGGAAAGTGGTAACCATTGCCTATAGACATAAGCAGTATCAGCACCAGTGAGGGGTGATAGGCGAGGATGTAAAGACAGGTCAATTAGCCCATCGTGATGAATACACTTGTAATTCAGCACGATGGTTTCTAGGGGGACCATATGAAGGCCAGCTAGGTTGGGTATATTGCTAGCAATGGGGCCCTTAGTATCGATTATTAACAATCCCTCCTCCCCCCATATGCTATGGTCACCACTGTCCATCAGGTAGCCCGTCGGTTAGCCAATTAAAGTTGACTATAAAAATTGACGTGTTTGTATGTATGGTGGTAGCGATACCGCACGCCGTCCCGGTCGAGGTCGCGCTCGCGGTCAGTGACCCCGCCGCACTGGCGGCAAGCTCAGCGGAGGATCATCAAGCTCTCCGAGTTCGAGGTATGAATCTTAATCAATATTGACATCATCATGTCTATCATTGGGCATTTTTTTTTTAATAAATGATAATGAAATGGTAAGCCCGCCTGCGCTAACGGTATACGCTGATGCCCCATCAGTGAGGGATGATAGGTGAGAATGGAAAGACAGGTCAGTTAGCCTATCGTGATGAATTCACTTGGAATAGAGTACGATAGTTTCCAGGGGGAACCGCGAAGAGGTCGACCTGACAGGGTGTATTGCTAACAATGGAGCTACTAATCCTCATTTTTAACATTCCATTATCATCCCCTAATATTGGCCACTTAACATAAGCTTCCACCACAGAAAGTCACAGGGAACGGTTTCAGCCACTTCCATCGACTTCTTGTAACACATATAAGATCGACGCTTCACTAAATCGTCTTTATTCACTAAATACTTTTTTTAAGGGTGATAATGGAATGATAACCCCACCTGCGTTATCGGTATACGCTGGCGGGGCACCAGTGAGAGATGATAGATGAGGATGAAGCAGGTCAGTTAGCCCATCGTGAGGAATTCAACAATAAATCAATTATGATGGTTTCTAGGGGGCACCGCGAGGGAACCGACCTGATAGGGTTTATTTCTAGCAATGGGGTGGCTAACCCCATTACTAGGGGGGAGGGGGGGAAGGGATTGTTAGTAATGGAGACTGAGAATCCTATTGCTAGCAATATACCCAACCTGGTCGACCTCCTTGCGGTTTCCCCTGGAAACTATCATGGTTAATTCCAGATAAATTCATCATGATGGGCTAACTGGTCTGTTTTCATTCTCATCTATCACCCTTCACTGGTGCTCCGCCAGCGTATACCGTTTGCGCAGGCGGGGTTAACATTCCATTTTTACCCATAAAAAAAACCCATTACTGACAATCCATTCTCCCCCGTGATAGGATGATAAAAGACGATAAAAGATAATGTAATCGATTTTTTATTCCAGCGTGTGGAACAAGAGCGTACGGAGAGGGAACAGCTAGAACAAAGGGACAAACCCGCCGAGCGGCCGCACAGTAAGTCTTTTTGGATGTACATACTTGCATTAACATGTGGTGTAGGGCCCTTGGATGACTCCTAGGCCCTCACCAACACTGTATTTATCCAAGGAACACTAATATAATTTACTGAGGGTAGATATACAGTGAAAAATTAATTTACGCGTACACGGAGAGAATGCTGTTTTTAGTTATTAAAAGATGATTTATTTAAGTGGTTTGCAAGCACATGCACAATGATAATATAAAGCGAAAATATACAAATAATATTTTTAAAACTGAGTAAGCACGGTGCGTACGTGATAAGCGCATCAGGGAGACCCCACGAAGTTAGCCGCGCTGCCAAAGCGCTGCGGCCGCAGACGGCCGCTATCTTCATGCACTTCGCTTATAGTGTTGCCGCAATGTTTATAAGCGGAGCGGAATAATGTATTATTCTCCGCTACAAACACATTCTCCGCCAACAAGTTTTTCCGGGGGGAAAGGGATTGTTAGTAATGGAGACTGAGAATCCCATTGCTAGCAATATACTCAACCAGGTCAACATCCTCGCGGTTCCCCCTGGAAACTATAATGGTTAATTCCTGATGAATTCATCATGATGGGCTAACTGGCCTGTTTTCATTCTCATCTATCACCCTTCACTGGTGCTCCGCCAGCGTACCCCGTTAGCGAAGGAGGGGTGACCATACCATTTTTACCCATCAAAAACAAAAAAAGTTTTTCCATAAAAATTCTTTGTTTTTAAGTTACATTTAATGAATTATGTAGAGCTATGATTATTTAATTTACTTTGATGCATTTTTGTGGGAAATTATGAGGATTTTTATGTGTCAGTCACATGTGACTCACAAACCGCCAACTGGAAAGAATTACGCGTCGCGTAGCCCCATTGGAGTATTCCAGTGTCAGTCACCGGTGACTGACAAGGCGGTCAATGTGTTAAGGGCATTCCTACCAAAGTTTGGCTACGATTGAATTAATTGCCGTTTGAAAAAACAATTGAACAATATTTCTTATATGATAGATAGATACTCTTTATTGTTTCCTCCAAAAGATTACAATAGTAAACTTATTATAAATATAAATAATTACAACAAATAATCACAGTGAGAAAACAGTGGGCGACCTTATCGCTAAGAGCGATCTCTTCCAGGCAACCTTTGGATGGAGAGGAGTAATTATAAACAATTTGGTGGGAGGCACGATGAAAAATTTTGTTAGTTCTAAATATGGGAGATGTGATACATAGAATAATATAAATATTATCCCTACTCATTATTATATTTATATACATACACCTACACATACATATACATGTATATATATACATATTAACACATATACAAATACATATACATACATACGTACATATACACATATACATACATGGATATAAACGCCTACACAAATACATAAAAATATATAAATACTGTTCACGAAATGTATGCAAGTAATAAGTATGCTAACCATTATTTTATGGTCTGAGTTATTCATGTGTGGTTATTTATGTGGTTTCGTGTCGTCGTTCACGATGAAGTCTTTTTTTTTTATTGTAATTATTTTGTTACGATTAGAATGTATTCGAGTTTGAAAATTGACAAATAATACAGTCGTTGTTAGATTTCGGAATAAACGCTCTTAATTTTGATTTCTTCAGAATATATGAATAATGCTTATATGAATATTCCAGGCGAGGAAGAAGGCGGCACCCCGGAACAGCCCAGGGAGAAAGAAGAAGGCGAATGTGACACCACAATGGGTACTAAATTCAACTGATTATTTTACAGAGGAATAACACCTGAGTCCTCAGCAATGGCAACGCATGCGGGGTATCATGGGCGAAACAGTATACTCTGTTATGTCCATGGTACTGCTCATGTCTATAGGCGACGGTTACCACTTTGTATCAGGTGGATCGTCAGCTTGTTTGCCATTCTAAGTTGTATAAAATAAAAATTAAAAATAGTACATTACTGCAGCGGCTAGCAACTGAGCCATTGATGGACGAACGTGCAAATGTGGGCCGAGGCGTAGCCGAAGCACACATACGTGAGTCCATCAATGCCTAGTTGTGGCCAAGGCTTGTATAGTACTTTTCTCAAACAATGCGCGGAAATCAAAAACACAATTTTACTTTTTAAGTTCAATGACGAATAACGAACAATAATAATTTTTCACGCGCCATAATGTTCCTTTGTTTTTTTTTTCAATAAACAGCTTTCCATTTGCAAGCCAGTTCGAAATTTAAATAAAACTTAACTTGAAAATTGGTGTGAATTGTCTCGACACGCCATCTAAAAATAGAAGTTTCACTACTTCTAAAAGCCACGCGTACGAAGTACGGGCAAGGAGCTAGTTTACAGTAAGACTTTAAAGATTCATCAAGTTCTAACAGTCGCCAAGAGCGCCCCATATCAATGCACTGCTTGTACATGTTACTTGGATAGATTTCACTCTAGAATACATGTCATTTTAATTTTAAACTTTGACTAAAATAGGTTCCGTTAGAAAATATTTTTTAAACAGAAACTATTTTATTTTTATATTTTTGTTTCAGTAATAAATTGTATTAAAAAGCACGTGACTTAATTTTATTTTCGCAACTGTTCATTTTAGCATATCCATGTTTTTTTTTTACTTTCAGAGAGATCGCGTCACGAGAAGATTGACTATAACGCATTGGATTTCGAAGAGGACGTGGAACAAGAGGGTGAGTAACACATATTTGTACGCGCGTACACACATGCACGCACGCACGCACACACGCACACACGCACACACGTACGCACGCACGCACGCACGCACCCACGTTCGCACGTACGCACGCACTCACGCACGCACGCACGTGATATTGACACACGTGACATACACAGATAATTGTAACCAATGTTGCCATGTTTCGTTAAGCTACAGTTATGTAGGTTATTAAATAAATAATTTAATAAACCACGATTGAATAGTGCAAGCAAGGAAATCCCGATATGAGTCAACTTTAGTTACCTGTTGCTGACTAACATTGCTTGTTTGATAGTCCCATTGCTAGCAATATGTCCTATTCGGTCGATCTCCACCAGGTTCCCCCTGGAAACCATCGTGAACAATTCTTGTTGAATTTGTCACGATAGGCTAACTGACCTGTTTCATTCTCACCTATCATCCTTAATTGGTGCCCCGCCTGTGTATACCGATAGCGCGGCTGGGGTTACCATTCCATTATCACCCATTAAAAAAAACATTGTAGGCTAGTCTCTCTCATGGGGAGAAACCCATGCTAAGCAGTGAAATGTTTGTAAAATCTTTGTTTAATTTATTGTATGTTCTCGCGTGCAGAGGAAAGAGCCGCCCACAAGCGCCGAGCGGAGCGCGAACAAGCTCGGCGACAAGTTCGGCGAGCGACGCCCGAGCATAGAGCGGAGATGCTTGCGCTCGCGCTTGGCGTACAGCCCAAGCACGATAAGTATGATCTGTACATGTTCTTTTTTTAAGCAGCTTTAGAATGGCAAACAAGCTGACGGCCGACCTGATGGAAAGTGGTAACCGTCGCCTATAGACATGAGCAGTACCATGCACATAACAGAATATACTGTTTCACCTATGATACCCCCCAAGCGTTGCCATTTACTGAGGACTCAGGTGTTATTCCTCTGTACCCTGTAAATTCAATGCTATATCCCACCCTTCAAACAGAAATACAGCCATGCAAACAACTGCATTACAGTAGAAATAAGAATGGGATAGAGGTGCCCAAGCAAACGACTTTTGTACAAAGTCTCCCTCTACACAAATATTTATTCATAAATATTCTTATTGTAGTTTTAAGTGAAATGAAATATTTGCTTTAAACAAACATTTAATATAGTAAAGGCCATGTGACAGAAATATTTGGCATCTTTTTGGCAGTTTAATTCCCTTAAAATTGTAGGCATCGCATACAACGCGGTTTCAGAGATGCTTTTTCCCACGAACACTCAGGTTATGGAATGAGCTCCCTGCCGAGGTTTTCCCAAGATACTACAGCATGGGGTTCTTCAAAAGGGGGGTAAAGAGGTTTCTTCAGGGTCGGCAACGCGCGCGTAATACCTCTGGTATTGCAGGCGTTCATAGGCTACGGTAACCGCTTACCATCAGGTGGGCCGTATGCTTGTTTGCCACCTCAGTGGTATAAAAAAAAGGCATGCAGTTTATAAAGCTTTTTAGCTGTATTTTACCGAAACAGGTGTTACATTGCGGAAGTCCATATCACTGGTTAGTGTGGACTACGGTGTTATGACTCCATATCTTGTAAAATTTCCCGCAGTATATTTATCAAAGTATATTAGCATACCCGCAGTTGATTTATGCAAAAAGTGCTTTGGTATTTGCAATACTTTTGAATGTAGTATATTTTACGAGTCGCCGTGTGGTGCCGGCGTTGAATAAGCCATCCCTTCTTTTCCCGTGGGTGACGTAAGAGGCGACTAAGGGACGGCGAGTGATGGGCAACAGTATCGCTCTTAAAACGTCTCCAATGTCTAACTGCAGTTGCTAATCTGCCTGCCAAGCGTGGCAATTATTGGTAAACACCCCAAGGGGAGGCTTATGTTCAGCAGTGGACAGTTAAAGCCTGATAAGATGATATTAATGAGAAAAAATAGTTCTCAATTCAAATTTAAAAATATTGTGTGTTAAAAATTAAATGTGAGGTTTTTTATATCGAATTACTTGCAACACTGAAAAAGGGGAGTGCCAGTCAACTTTTGGCTGTTTCAATTTTGAATTGTTTTTAATTCTCCTGATGAGTACTATAACAATGCGGGGCTCACTTTCCATTATCATCAGCAGCGACGGGCCGTCGCACAGGGAATCCCGCGAGTGGAGGTCGCCACGTCGTCGCGAGGGATTATCGTCGGCCGTGCAGGCGGCGCCGCGCCTGCCGTCCGCCGTCAGCGCCGCCGGCCCGGGCCTGGGCGGGGACCACCGTCCTACACCGCACACCTCCGACGAGTATGACCCCTTCACTCTGCTGAGAAGCACCTTCAATAGGGACAAAAAGGAGAAAGGCAAGGAGCTTGCAAGAGAAAGGTCAGCCCTGTATATTTATAAGCTTCTATTCTGTTCATAATTTATATTTGGTTTCAGTGACATCTTGCAACATAAATTAGAATCTATTAAGGTTTAGAAATTGAATAGATCTAATTTTGCTGAAACTTTGCATATATCTTTGATTTTAGTGACAATACAATATGCAATGTCGTATAGGGAGGTCAAGGATATGGCCTGGGATAGAGCTGGCTGGAAGAAGATGCGTGAATTAGTTGCACCGACAAGAGGAAACTCTTAAATGAAAAGAGACAATATGCAATAATGAATGTTGTATTTTTTCAAAATGGCCGCCACTACAAAATGGCGGATCAAACCATTTGAGTATGAAATAAAAGAATTTAAGGAGTCGAAGAGATTAGATTTTTGTTTATTTAGTACAGGAATGTAGATGATACAGGCTTAGCACTAAATGCATCCTTTTTCAGTCACCTTTAGGCGTTAATAAACAGTTGAATGTGGTAACTATAGCATACATAATACACTTTTCCTATTACTTGCTCAGTATAAGGTTTGCTTCTTTTGGCACCAGATGGCATTGTATAATTAGTCAAATAGTACTTAATTGTACTCTGTAACTTTCAGGAACAAAATTAACACAAATAGTTATATTTTTTCACTATATTTTTTAATATAATCTAATGGGGGGGGGGGGGATTGTTAGCAATGGAGTTTGACAGCTCCATTGCTAGCAATATACCCTATCAGGTCGATCTCCACGTGGTTCCCTCTGGAAACCATCGTGAACAATTCTCGTTGAATTCATCACGATAGGCTAACTGACCTGCGTCGTCCTCACCTATCATCCTTCACTGGTGCCCCGCCGGTGTATACCGATAGCGTGGGTGGGGTTACTATTTCATTTATCACCCATAAAATAAATATATGATCTAATGTATAAAAAGTGATTTGTAGGAAAGAAGAGCGTCCAGAACGTTCAGATAGACGCGACAAGGACAAAGATAAGCAAGAGAAACTGAAAGAAAAAGAAGATAGGCGGGAACGGCATAGAAGCGAGAGAGATGATAAAGATTCTAGACACTCGGAGTACAGAAAGGACGATAAAAAAGAAGAAAAACGGGACAGGGAGAAGGAACGCTCCAGGGAAAGAGATAGACATCGGGACAAGAGCGAGAAACGCAGAGAAGAAGATAAGGAGCGTGAGAAAAAGAAGAGGCGTTCACATTCGTCCAGCGTTGAAAGGTATTTTTAAAAGGTTTTTTTTTATCAGAGGGAGACTTTGTACAAAAGTCTATTGCTTGGGTACCTCTGTCCCGTTTGTGTTTCTACTGTGAAGCAGTTGTGTTTGCATGGCTGTGTTTCGGTTTGAAGGGTGGGATATGGCAGTGAATTTACAGCGTACAGAGGAATAACACCGGAGTCCTCAGGAATGGCAACGCATGGGGGGTATCATGGGCGAAACAGTATACTCTGTTATGTCCATGGTACTGCTTATGTCTATAGGCGACAGTTACTACTTTCCGTCAGGTGGGCCGTCAGCTTGTTTGCCATTCTAAGTTGTACAAAAAATATATATATACTATTTTGGCCGCAGGTCGAAATCACCAAAATCCAAAGACAGAAAACGTTTGGACTCTGATAATCAGGACAAGAATGTTGGACGATCCAAAGAGTTGGATGAAGACGAAAAGAAAAAGGTATGCACTTAATAACGCTATCTGATTTGGTTACACGATTTATTTTGTATGGGAAATTGGGCTTTGAATCAATAAAACAAGCTCTCCAATATTATTTTATATTGGTGTTCTCTACTGTGCTACTAGGAAGTCAATGCAAGTCTGCTTTCAAGCGCATAGAAGTATCGTTCGGAAAAGAGTGGGGCGGTGACGTAGCAAAGTGAAAGTTAAATACATGAGTCATTCAATATCAGTCTTTAGTCAAATGAGAGATTAATTTTTGCACATTAATTTAAATAATATCAACATTTTCCTTTAAAGCTGTTAATTTCAAATGTCCTTACATATCCTCTATCATGTTTCGTCATCTTCCTGCCCTTGTCCCAACAATTTGGGCTCACCGTAATATGGTTTCCCGCATTATCATTGTTTTTTTACAATAAAACCGTTTAACTTTTTTTTTATACCACTGTGGTGCAAACAAGCATACGGCTCATCTGATGGTAAGTAGTTACCGTAGCCTATGAACACCTGCAATACCAGAGGTATTATGCGTGCGTTGCCGACCCTGAAGAAACCTCTTTACCCCCCTTTTGAAGATTTTTTTAATTGTTTTTTAATTTTTTTAATGAGTGATAATGGAATGGTAACCCCACCCGCGCTATCGGTATACACCGGCGGAGCACCAGTGAAGGATGATAGGTGAGGATGAAGCAGGTCAGTTAGCCCATCGTGACGAATTCAACAAGAATTGTTCACGATGGTTTCCATGGGGAACCAAGTGGAGGTCGACCTAATAGGGCATATTGTTAGCAATGGAGCTGTCAAACTCCATTGCCAACAATCCATTTCCCCACCTGACCTTGGTTTTTAATTATTAGCTTTTATTTATCTTGCCCTAGTATCTAAGTGTTTCCGTTTCCAAGATTTGCAATTTATTTTTTACCCAATGACATGCCGTGTGGTCCCGGCATAGAATAGGCCACCCCTTCCTTTCCCGTGGGTGTCGTAAGAGCTGACTAAGGGAGGGCGAGGGATGGGCAGTAACGACCCTCTTAAAACATTATCAAAGCCTAACTACGGTTGCTAATGCGCCTACCATGCGTGGCAACTACTGGCAACCCCCCTCTCCTTCCTTGAAGGGGGACTGGACAGTGGACAGTTGAAGGCTGACATAATGACGATGCACCGACATGACATACGATTATGGTGAAATATGGAATACTTATAGTATGTTTTGTAACAATTACAATTGTATGCTACTGTTGCTGATCTGATGATGAAGACGGAGCATGTAAATTCCGTAGTGTTTGAGCTCGTTTGATTTGTATTAACAAAACTGTAACCCTGCGTAGTGCCCAGAGTCTGATGATGAAGTTTAAAGCCTATAAAAGCTTGTTTTCAAAAGTCATTGTCTTTTTTTTATACAACTTAGAATGGCAAACAAGCTGACGGCCCACCTAATGGAAAATGGTAACCATCGCCTATAGACATGAGCAGTATCATGGACATAACAATGTGTACTGTTTCGCCCATGATACCTCCCATGCGTTGCCATTCCTGAGGACTCAGGTGTTATTCCTCTGTATCCTGTAAATTCACGCCATATCCCACAGATTCAAACCGAATGGGACAGAGGTACCCAAGCAATCGACTTTTGTACAAAGTCTCCCTCTTTTATAGGAACAGGAGCGGCTTGAAGCGCGCAAGGAGCTGATGGAGATCGTGAGGCTCATCAAGTCGAGGCAGCGCGACAGGGAGAACAAGGCGGCAGGTAATTGCAAGCACCTTATAATATACATTCTTGTTCGCCATGTTGTCTTGGTGCCGTCTGGGCCATCCCGTCCTTTCTTGTAGCTGTTGCGTAAGAGGCGACTAAGAAAATGTAAAGATCGAGGGAGAACAGCAGCGTCCTTCTTAAAACGTCACCAAAACCTAACTGCGGTTGTTAATCCACCTGCTAAGCGTGGCAACTATTGGCAAAACCCCTCCAAAGGAACGCCTCCAAAGGTGAGGCCTATGTTCAGCGGTGGACAGTAAAGTGCTATTATGGACTATGTATTATATATTTTATTTATTTAGGTTGTATTTTTAAAGGGTTTTTCGAAAGGAAAAAGTTCTCAATTCGTCTGTATTTTAAATAAAAGCTTAATTTTTAGTTTAATGGTACTAGTCATTAAATTAATTAATTGAGTGTTTTGATTTGTTACTAATTTCATTTTTCTTTTGTGAATGAATGGAATGGTAACCCCGCCTGCGCTAACGGTATACGCTGACGGGGCACCAGTGAGGGATGATAGGTGAGGATGAAGAGACAGGCCAGTTAGTCCATCGTGATAAATACACATAGAATTCAGCACGATAGTTTCCAGGAGGGACCACGGGGAGGTCGACCTGTAAGGGTATATTGTTAGCAATGGGACTGATAATCCGCATTACTAACAATCCCTTCCCCCATTAATTTCATTTAAATAGTGTAATAATTTCATTCAAACCTTTCTATTAAGCTCCATGGAAATGGGTTATACAAATTTTCTATTTAATTTGCCAGAGGTTAAGAAGAAGCAGGAGTCTTCGGATTCATCGTCGGAGGACGAGAAACCCCGGAGGCGTCGTTCGAGCGAGCGTCGCAAGCGGAGTCACACGCCGCGGTTAGTCGCATCATATAGTATTATTATAGACTGTCTACGATATTTATTTATTTATTTAACTCTATTGCACCATAAAAAAAAATACAAAAATATTAAAAAATGTAAGTAAAATACGATAACATGATACGCCCTACCAAAAGCCAAAAAAGTAAACTTTGTTTCAAAGTTTCGACCAAGATATATAATACTGTCTGTACGGACCGCTACTAAATACGCTTCCTGACAACACCAGTGGTTCGTTGAAGTATTTTTTTTGTTTATGCAACTTAGAATGGCAAACAAGCTGACGGCCCACCTGATGGAAAGTGGTAACCGTCGCCTATACACATGAGTAGTACCATGGTCAAACTCCATTGCTAACAATCCCTTTCCCCTCCACTTTTAGGTACTAGGTCAATGAACTAGATGCTTAATGAATTAATCAGTAGAGTAAAAGAAAGACTTAAAATAATATGCAATTAGCTTTCTATAAAAATAAGATTTGGCTTAAGTGTTTCAATGTAATATATAAATATTTCAGTGGTCGCGGCCGTTCGCCGTCTCCCGCATCTCGCCGCACACGCACGCGGCGCTCGCCCTCTCACTGACGTCGCATGTCGCCACGCGTTGACACATGTCGTCGCATGTCGCCGCACGTTGTCACATGTCGCCACACAACGCACACCCAGCTGTCTCCTAATCTATGTGGACGCATTGTAAAGTGAACATGTGGAACGTGTTGGTAAATTTCATAATAGTTCATCCCGAGCAATGTCAAAATGCTTTTTTAAACACTATGCATATAAGGTAAACTTCTTAACGTTTGGTCGTACTATTAAGGTGTCAAATGGTGACAAACATACTCACGATCACTTTTACATTAGTAAATAGAGATATTAAACATTATCAATACATATAATAAAACCATAACTGATCGCTGTCTGTACATGGAAGATATAATTATATATATAAAACGAATGCCTTTATGAACGTCTCAAATTATAATTTAAAATATTTATAATATACATAATATAAATAAATAAAATAAATAAATATAAACATATACGGACAAATCACACAGATTGAGCTAGCCCCAAAGTAAGTTCGAGACTTGTGTTATGGGATACTAACTCAACGATACTATATTTATAATAGATACATATATAGATAAACATCCAAGACCCAGGACAATCAGGAAAAGATCGTTTTCCATCATGACCTGGCCGGGGATCGAACCCGGGGCCTCCACGTCGCAGGCAGGCGTGTTGACCGCTGCGCCATGGAGGACGACATGTATGTTATGTAAGGTAATCTGTTTATATAATAATTTAACTATGTTTTTTTTTATACAACTTAGAATGGCAAACAAGCTGACAGCCCACCTGATGGAAAGTGGTGACCTTCGCCTATAGACATGAGCAGTACCGTGGACATAACAGAGTATACTGTTTCGCCCACGATACCCCCCATGCGTTGCCATTCCTGAGGACTCGGGTGTTATTCCTCTGTACCCAGTAAATTCACGCCATATCCCACCCTTCAAATTGAAACACAGCCATGCAAACAACTGCTTCACGGTAGAAATATGAATGGAACAGAGGTACCCAAGCAATCGACTTTTGTACAGTCTCACTCCCAAATTCTAACTTTACATATATATGATATATTCTTCAGCAATATAAAGGTTGTAAGCCTCTTGGTAACGAATAGAAATGAAGCACAAGTTCTCACAGTTCTTTTTATTTTAGATATCATACTATTAAATCATATATTTACTTATTTTACTTTATATTTGATATATAACAAATAATATAACATAAATACCCAACTTCTGTTAGTCCATTCACACTTATTTAACTATAGCTTCTTTAGGACTTCCATCAACAATAATTGTGATATATTTTATATAATGACCACGTGGTTCACTATACTTGTTCACTCTTGATACGACAGGGAGCTCCGCTCTGTTCAACGGTTGGACAAGAAGTGTGTAAGCCACCCAAATAACAGTCTTTTATATCTACAGGGCCGAATTCGAGTGAACAAGTCAGTGAGACCGCGTGTTCTTACAATTTCATCACTTTTTATTCAAGTACCATGATAATAAATGATTGTAAAATCAATTAAAATATAAATTAGTGTTCTATATACATTACAAGAATAATTTATTACCAAATTCGGTATAATAACAATTTTAATACTTTATTATATTTAAAGTAGTTACTTTGATTTTTATTAATAAATGTAGGTACACATTTTGACACAAGATGTTTGAGAAAATTAATATAATTTAAAATAAATAAATAAAAAACGCAATGGAATCCAAAACTGTTATTTGTCTGTTTGTCTATACATTTGTGCATGCTAATGTCAGAAACGGCTTAACCGATTTTAATGCGGTTTCCACTAATACGTTGCGGTTTGCTCCATGTTAACATTTAGTGTTTGTTTTCAATCGGTTCATAAATAAAAAAAGTTGTACCAATCTAAAGAATTACATATAAAATGCTATAAAATTGAATTGGCGGATACTTTTTTTTTATTATATGTATTGATTTTCGAATATTCTGTTTACTTGTACGAAGTCGGGTCGGATGGCTAGTTTAAAAAAAAAATTAATATTGAATTTTCTAGAATTGATATTACCGTGTAATGAGTTGCAAGGTGCATTCTTAAGTTTTTAATATAGGCGTCCTACCTATCTGTGTATGTTTCATGTTTTCTGATATGTATAAAAATGTTCATAGTACCATGTATTGATCAATGAAATTAAAATAACATTTTTTTTTTTAAAGTAACTATCTATTGAATTTATTGTTAGCCTGTACATGATGTGACATTCTGTTACTGTGTTCGTAACGTTCGCGTGCTTAGTCAAAAAGTAGGTTTTTTTTTGTATAATTAATCAATTTTGAACTTTCGCTTTGTTGACACTTTAGATTAGGGGTATCCAAACTTATTTTGCCTACTGCCCACTTTGAGAATAAATTATTTTTTACCGCCCCTATTTTTACATCTACTTAAAAACCACTATTACTTCAAGATCAATAAATCACCCCCCAAGCCTCTACACAACGCCCCCCTTTTTTTTCTTGGTTTCTTACTGCCCCCCTTTAGGCCTGCAGCGCCGACAAGGAGGCGTTATAGCTCACTTTTGGAAAGGCTGCCTTAGGTTATATAGATAGAGCGTCTTCATACAAATGCTTCGAGAAAAACGGCTCAACTTTTTCATACAATTTTGCTTGATAAATAGTTATGAGTGATTCCTTTATGACTTCTATATTTGTCTTGTAATTTTTGCATATTTTTATTGCGAAAAACTAATTGTATTTATTAAATGATTAAATATAGATACGTCAAGATACATTGTGTGCGTAAGTATATAGAACACTGATAAAAAAACGAGTCAGCTAATTTGACAATTAGCTGATAAAATATTGACCCGTTTTCGAGATTGGATGCTTTATCTATATAATCTAAAGTTGGCACATATTATGTATACATTATGGGGATTTACCAGATAAAATAAAATCAGGTGTGTAGGTATAGTACATTACTGCAGTGGCCAGCAACTGAGGTATTGATGGACGAACGTGCAAATGTGGGCCGAGGCGCAGCCAAGGCACACATACGTGAGTCCATCAATGCCTAGTTGTGGCCAAGGCTTGTATAGTACTTTTCTCAAACAATGCGCGGAAATCAAAAACACAATTTTACTTTTTAAGTTCAATGACCAATAACGAACAATAATAATTTTTCACGCGCCATAATGTTCCTTTGTTTATTTTCAATAAACCGCTTTCTATTTGCAAGCCAGTTCGAGATTTAAATAAAACCTTTTATTAGTTACCTCCTTGGTAGCCATGTTTCGAAGTAAAAGGTCATTCCATTTTTAAATTACAGGACAGATATGAGTTTACATAGTAATTTATCTGGCCGCAATACACAACAGATATGGATTTTCATACAACTTTTGCCGGCCGCTGCCCGCATGTATCTGGCCAGTACGGCAATTTTGACTTATCTCGAAGAAGATTGTCAAAATAATGCTCACATTTCCAAGCATGTTTGAGAAAAAGTTTTTTTTTTTGGTGGAAATCAATCTTTAATTATGTAATACTTTTGTTGTGTCAATATTGTCAGTTTGTCTGGTAAGGGCGTCTAGTTAGATAGCTAGTCTGACGAAGTTATTTAGGTATGTAATCAACACATACCTGATTCTCTAAGTTTCCAAGGAGAGTAGTAAAAATTTTGTTTGTTCAGTTACACTTGCATGCTTTTTCTACATTGTAGATAAAAAAAATATATAAGCTGCGCGCTTATTTACACACTATACATAAAAAAAAATGTATTTTTTTTTTCAAATGTCTATGTGAATAAATTTGAATCCGAAATAAAATGTTAAAATTATGTACTTATTTGTTTTATTGTAATACTACCTTTCTACTTGTGGCTTCGTTTTTTTTTTATACAACTTAGAATAGCAAACAAGCTGACGGCCCACCTGATGGAAAGTGGTAACCGTCGCCTATAGACATGAGCAGTACCATGGACATAATAGAGTATACTGTTTCGCCCATGATACCCCGCATGCGTTGCCATTCCTGAGGACTCAGGTGTTATTCCTCTGTACCCAGTAAATTCACGCCATATCCCACCCTTCAAACCGAAACACAGCTATGCAAACACAACTGCTTTACGGTTGAAACACGAATGGAACAGAGGTTACAATTTACAAATCACCCCTCAAGTCTCTACACAACGCCCCCATGTTTTTCTGGGTCTCTTCCCCCCCCCCTCCTTTGGCTTATAGTTCCCACAAGGGGGTGGTATCGCCCACTGTAAAGGGTCTGTGCATGTTTTGGTTTGAACCATGTCTTAGTATATTGTTGGGATGACACTGCATGACAGGTATCAGGAACGTCAAACTGTTTTTTCAATGGATGATAATGAAATTGTAACCCCGCCCGCACAATTGGTATACATTAGCTGGGCACCAGTGAGGGATAATAGGTGAGTATGAAAAGGCAGGTCAGTTAGCCCATCGTAATAATTCCACTAGAATTAACCACGATAGTTTCCAGGGGGAACCACGTGGAGGTCGACCTGTTAGGTTATTACCAACGTCACTCTGTTGGGGGGGAAAGGATTGTTAGCAATGGAGTTTGACAGCCCCATTGATAACAATATACCTTATTAGGTCGACCTCCACGTGGTTCCCCCTGGAAACCATCGTGAATAATTCTTGTTGAATTCGTCACGATGGGCTAACTGACCTGCTTCATCCTCATCTATCATCCTTCATTGGTGCCCCGCCGGTGTATACCGATAGCGCGGGTGGAGTTACCATTCCATTATCCATTTAAAAAAAAAATATCACTCTGTTGTGTCCACAGTGCTGTTCATGTCTATAAGTGATAGTTACAACTTTCCAGCTGGGCTGTCAGCATAGTTACTGCTTGGGAGGTCGGCTCGTTGAACTCTCTACAATATTTATTTATTTATTCATTAGTACATATATGTGTACATGGCGGACTTAATGCTAAAAGCATTCTCTCCCAGTCAACCATAGGGCAGTGTCAGAATACTTGAATGCGGTACTACTAATTATTGATATTTTTTTTTTTACAACACGGGGCAAACGGGCATGCGGCTCACCTGATGGTAAGTGACTACCGCCGCCCATGGTCACCCACAACACCTACGGCATTGCAGGTGTGCTGCCGGCCTTTTAAAAAGGAATACGCTCTTTTCTTGAAGGTTATGTTGTCGTATCAGTTCGGAAATACTGCTGCTCGAAGTTGATTCCAAAGAGTGGTTGTGCGTGGGAGAAAGTGCCTTGAAAAACGCACGGTGGAGGACCGCCACTCATCCAGATGGTTGGGATGAAATTTTAGTTGATATACATACATACTAAAATTACATATATAAACGAATAAATATATATGAATAACAAATATACTTACACATATATGACATATATTATACACGAAATTGAGAATAATATAAAGTACTTAATGCTCGGATAAAGTAAAAAAGTGAGCGTGAACGTGTTTTTTGAAAGACGGTTTAGTCGGTAGACTCTTAATGGTATCAGGTATAATTAATGGTATAATTCTAATCAAGTAACCAATAACCTAAATATACTTGGATCACAACTTAACGCATTCCAGGATGAAGGATTCAAAAGAGAGAATAGTGGGTGAGGAACTGGGATAAATATGGAACGCTTTTTTTTAAGTCGGTCGTCTCTATTAGGGATGAGTCGGGAACAATATTATCATTAAGGGAACTTTTATATAACTCATCCGTCATACTCGTGAACGGGTACTGTTCGTGGGAACTGGTGTGCTTATGTTTACTTATTTATTGTTTTTATTTATTTTCTATTTTCTATTTAATAATATATATATATATATATATATATATATATATATATATATATATATATATATATATATATATATATATATATATATATATATATATAACGCAATACTAATTATAGTCGTAATTTAGTACATAAATAATTTGAAAAGAGTAACTGTTGAGTTTCTTACGGGTTCTTCTCAGTAGATAACAGCACTCCAAATTCAAAAATAGAATCATAAAAAAAAAGTAATCCTTTTCGTAAGAGTTCGTAATTTGAATAAAGAATATTTCAATATAGAATAGAATCTATTAAAGCGGATGCAGGTGGCTCAGGACCGTTCTTTATGGCAGTCTATGGGGGAGGCTTATGTCCAGCAGTGGACGGATAATGGCTGAAATGATGATGATGATGATGATGATTCTATTAAAATTCAATGTGACATAAAAAATATTATTTTTACCCGCACAGATTGATTTGTTTATTTTTTTAATTCAGAAATATGGGTCGTGTGTACGGCGGCCATGTTAATTGTGCGAGTGATTAACATACGAGTGGGTAGGTGCCTCCCGGAGGATAACGTTGGAATTCGAGTCATGACAGTTTATACAGATTACTACGCACCTATCCAATTACAATGCAAAGGGTGTTTGAAAGAGAGAAAGAAATATTTGTAATCAAGTAAACTTGAATATTTTTGAACAGTAATTTTTTCATGATGTAATTTTAGGCAAAAAGAACGGGCAAGAAATTCAGCTGTTGCGTAAGTATTATAGTTAGGTTTCCTTTTAATGAATGATAATGGAATGGAAGGAGATTAAGTTTTTTATGGATGATTAAGGAATGATAACTCCGCTTGCGTTGGAGCTCCAATGAGGGAGGATAGGTGAGGATAAAAGCAGGCCAGTTGGCCGACAGTGATATATTTATCAAGAAATTACCACGATAGTTTCCGCAGGGGGAACCGCATGAAGGTATTTTTTTCCAATTTCAATTCTTGGAATTCCATACTGTTTTTGTTAACGGGTTACAAAAACAGCCTGGAACTGAGTTCTATGTCAGTGTGTCTAGTGATAGTCCTGAATGCGTCATTGGCTGCACTGTTTTTTATTGCCAACGTTATTTATATTTACTTATAAATACATATTTACGTCTACATACATATTTTTTTACTTTAATTATGCAATTTATTTTCGGGATGTATTATGATATTATTTGTCAATGTATATTATATAATTAAAATGAAATATATAATAGATATAGTTTGTTTAGTGAAGTTACAGGTAGTCAATTGACTTGTTTAGGTAGAACCGCATGAAGGTGGACCTGATATGGTATACTGCTAGCAATGGGGTCTAATAACACCATTACTAGCAGTTCCTTTACCCCAAATAATAAGGGTTAGCGCGGGAAAGAGCTTCGCTTCGATAAATCGTAAAATGCAAAGTTGTGACTTTGAAAATTTTGCGCAGCGTTCTTTGTGAAATAATCGAATCTTTGGGGTGAAGGCAGAGAAAACAGGTTTTTTTTTATACGAGGTCTGTCCGGAAAGTTCGTATAAAAGTGTTCTGGAATGCGAGAAAGAGGAGTGGGGAGGCTAGGTAAGCGCAGGACCCCTTCCTTATGTCCCTAACAATGCTTCAGTTCTGGTCTGACCGCCGTGCGGTGCGAACTGGCTTGTCACGCCATCTGTGAAGTTACCTCTTAACGAAACCCCGTCGGCATGGAGCCCGCTTCCGTTGAAGAGCAGCGCGTCGTAATCAAGTTTCTCTCGAAACTCGGCAAGAATGGCCGTGAAAGCAAAGAGTGGAAGACATCCGGGGAACCACGAACAAAAAAATCAAGAAAATCCCGCTCAAATGTCAAGACAATGTTGATTGTTTTTTTCGATGTTCGGGGGATTGTCCATCAAGAATTCGTCCCTCCAGGCCAGACAGTTGATGGAAAATTCTACGTCGATGTGCTCAGACGCGTCAAAGCTCGTGTGGCACGAGTTCGTCCAGAATTGGCGCGAGAGGGGCGTTGGATTCTTCACCACGACAATGCCCCTGCCCACACCTCTCTTGTTGTCCGTGAGTTTTTGAGTAAAAATTCCATTACGGTGACCGAACACCCCCCTATTCGCCGGATTTGGCCCCGTGTGACTTCTTCTTGTTCCCAAAAACCAAATTGGTACTTCGGGGGCGGCATTTGGGGGACATAAATGAGATAAAAAAAGCTACGACGGGGCAGCTGAGAAACCTACAACCAGAGGACTTTCAAGGAGCCTTCTCACAGTGGAAACGGCGTTGGCACAAGTGCATTATGTCACAGGGGGAGTACTTTGAAGGGGATAAAATTGATTTACCTGAATAATTGTAAAATAAAATTTTTAAAAAACTTTTATACGTACTTTCCGGACAAACCTCGTACAACTTAGAATGGCAAACTAGCTGACGGCCCACCTGATAGAAAGTGGTAACCGTCGCCTATAGACATGAGCAGTACTATGGACATAACAGAGTATACTGTTTCGCCCAAGATACCCCCATGTGTTGCCATTCCTGAGGACTCAGGTGTTATTCCTCTGTATCCAGTAAATTCACGTCATATCCCATCCTTCAAACCGAAACACAGCCATGCAAACATAACTGCTTCACGGTTGAAACACGAATGGGACAGAGGTACCGAAGCAATCGACTTTTGTACAAAGTCTCCCTCTGTGCTAATAGAGAAAAGGCATTCACATATGTATGTTGACCTGGGCGTTTATGTTAGCACAGGTAGGTAAGTATTGTAAAGGGATTCGATGAATTCCTATCCACTAAACCTACAATGCCTTCCAACCAATACGGTCCTTTGTCTTTTGTATCCATTTTTTCCCGCTGTTTTGCGGTGATCGTCAGTCCATCTTGCCATTGCAGGCGTTCATAGGCTACGATAACCGCTTACCACCAAGCGGATCATATGATTGTATGCTTGTTACCTCAGTGGTACAGAAAAATCTGGAGGGAGGGAGGTCGGCTCATGAGGCGTTTTCCTGTACGCAGTCTCCACTCTAATAG